TAAAAGCGGACTTTAAAAAAAAGGGATTATGCGATTATTAGGATACGGCGACTGTGGAAAGCGAGATGCCATGCTTAGCTGCGACAGACACGCAGCGACGGTGGGTTACCCGGGGGAATGGAGGAGGTGGAGGTGGGGGAGGTGGAGGTGGGGGAGGTGGAGGTGGGGGAGGTGGAGGTGGGGGAGGTGGAGGTGGGGAATCCAACGTTCAGATCATAGCCCAGAAGCCAGGGCAGAAAACAAAGACGGTGCGGGGTGGGTGCTGCGGGGTGTTGCGATATGAGGGGAGGTATCATTTTCGGCTGTGACCGCGAGGCGAGAAGGTGCAACAGCAAAACACACACACGCTTTCTTACTACCAATGTGCGCCTTCCAGCGACCCCTTTGATCAGACACGATCACATCGACATATGTCAATTCAATCAGATGAACGACGAAACACAGACGCGGGGAACATACACGGCGGGGCGGCCCTCCCACTCACCTGGGAAGTCGCTGCCGTACATAGCGCAGCATGTCGTACAGTGACGGAAGCTGACCAGTAGAGGCGACGGCGTCGACGGCGGCACCTCCGCCGCTTGCGGCGGTCACATCGACCCCCCCCGCAGCTGGCTTGGCGGCGACTGTTGCTACTGCTGCTGCTGCTGCTGCTGATGATGATGATGATGATGATGACGATGCCGGTGGCGGCTTTAGTCCCCGCATAGCCCCCTCCCGCACATCGTGTTTGGTGTCTCCAGCCGCTAACACACAGATCTGCGAGCTCGATGTGCACATCGTACCGCGGTACGGCATGGTACGGTACGGATCCCTTAACGACAGTTTGATAACAATACGGTACAAGAGATCGGCCCTGTGCTCAAGTAAAACCTGGGGAAGTGCGGGCCCCCTAGAAAGTGAATTTAAAGGGTTTCACGAAGGGGGGGTCTAACGAAAACGATCAAGTCTTCGGTCCAATGTGCAGCGAGGTAGGTATTTCGGGGGAATCCATCACACGGGAATCATCCACAAGACGAAATGCCGTACACTGCAATCCCCTGGGACATACATACAGGGTGCCCCTCTCGCAGGGGAGAGCAGGGAACTGCCTCTAAGGGAAAGGGGGCCGCTGGTGAAGGTGAATACCACCCTGTAACAACATACATACATACATGTACGCACCCATCGAGCGGGCACGTGCTGGAAGGGGAACAGCCGACATGCCCACTGTACGGCGCACAAACGTACGGCATCCTGCATGCACGGGACGGTCCGGGTCGACAGAAACGGAAGTTGGCGAGAGCGGATTGGCCCCCTGGATGGTGCTGGTGATGTTTGTTGCGATGGTGGTGTTGGTAATAATGGTGGTGTTGGTGTTTGTGTTTGTGTTAGTGGTGTGGTGATGGTGGTGATGGTGGTGATGGTGGTGATGGTGGCGATGGTGGTGGACGGGGGCCCGATGCAAGGGTACGGGAAACAGCAAAACAAAACAGCGAAACAGCGACACGAAGTACTTGGGCTGGTGGGGAAGGTAGCGGGAGATAGCGGCGAGACGGACGTACATACATACATACATACCCCGCACTTACATACATACATATATACATACATACATGCCACCAGTGGCCTTAGCGCCTTCATGTTTGCCCATCTTTCTTCATCTCCCTGTCCACCTTAGAAGGACCCCTAAGGGCCAGGGAAAAGCCCTTCGCCCCCAAGTACCTTCGAATCCTCCCCATCCCCGTCCCCCAAAGGAAAAAAACGAAAGAGGCCCCCTAAGGTCCTCACCTTGGGGCTACGCACGCTATCCAGCAGCAGCTCGTCCAGCTCTGCCGTACGCTCGCCGTACGCCTTCCCCATCGCGCCGGCGGTTGCCGCCCCGTCCGCGCGCGTGGCGTGCAGTGGCGGTACGGCAACGACAAATGCACGGGATAGGGCGCTGGTGGCCTCCTGTACGGCGGCCCTCACGCCGGGCGGCTCGTCCGAGAGAGCTGTGTGTATGTGTGTGTGTGTGCATGACCCATGGGTCAGTGGACAACAAAAGAAGTGACGAAGGGCATATGAGACAGGCTACACGTGGCGACAAGCGGTCGAGGAGCAAAAAGATAACCACGAAAAAGATACATAGATACATACATACCGGCACGTACGGCTTGGTGGTTCATCCGCAACTCAGTTGATTTCTAAACCTAAAACCTCTCCTCACCCGCACACCCGCTCGCACTTCCTTCCCGCGGCGCAGTTTATTAAAGCACACACATACACACATACACACACATACGCACACATACGCACACACCGCGACACGCACCCGTAAAGAAGCGCCGTGCAATGTCGGTTCTGGTTTGCAGCAGCTCCGGAACCCGTTGAGCCAGGCTGCCTATGGCCTACGAGAGCGGGGGGCCGAAACACAGCGCAGGGGTGTTGCTGCGGTTGCTGTTGCTGCGGTTGCTGTTGCTGCGGTTGCTGTTGCTGCGGTTGCTGTTGCTGCGGTTGCTGTTGCTGCGGTTGCTGTTGCTGCGGTTGCTGTTGCTGCGGTTGCTGTTGCTGCGGTTGCTGTTGCTGCGGTTGCTGTTGCTGCGGTTGCTGTTGCTGCGGTTGCTGTTGCTGCGGTTGCTGTTGCTGCGGTTGCTGTTGCTGCGGTTGCTGTTGCTGCGGTTGCTGTTGCTGCGGTTGCTGTTGCTGCGGTTGCTGTTGCTGCGGTTGCTGTTGCTGCGGTTGCTGTTGCTGCGGTTGCTGTTGCTGCGGTTGCTGTTGCTGCGGTTGCTGTTGCTGCGGTTGCTGTTGCTGCGGTTGCTGTTGCTGCGGTTGCTGTTGCTGCGGTTGCTGTTGCTGCGGTTGCTGTTGCTGCGGTTGCTGTTGCTGCGGTTGCTGTTGCTGCGGTTGCTGTTGCTGCGGTTGCTGTTGCTGCGGTTGCTGTTGCTGCGGTTGCTGTTGCTGCGGTTGCTGTTGCTGCGGTTGCTGTTGCTGCGGTTGCTGTTGCTGCGGTTGCTGTTGCTGCGGTTGCTGTTGCTGCGGTTGCTGTTGCTGCGGTTGCTGTTGCTGCGGTTGCTGTTGCTGCGGTTGCTGTTGCTGCGGTTGCTGTTGCTGCGGTTGCTGTTGCTGCGGTTGCTGTTGCTGCGGTTGCTGTTGCTGCGGTTGCTGTTGCTGCGGTTGCTGTTGCTGCGGTTGCTGTTGCTGCGGTTGCTGTTGCTGCGGTTGCTGTTGAAACCGACATGCTGACAGACGCCCAATAGCGGTGTTGTGGTGGGGTCGGCGGTTGCGGAGGACCCCGGGCCCCTCCCCCTCCCCCTAAACTTCCCCCTCCCNCCAAGCATGCGTTTGCAACGCAAAAACAAAAAGGTCAGGAACGGAAGAACGCCGTAGCGGCCCATATCAACCAGCCAATCCAGCCAGCGACATAATAAACCCTAATATCAAACCACGTGTGCATTACATAACATGTAACCGCCCAAACGACGGTGCGGGTTTTCCTTCTAGGCAGCTGTTGTCCGCTCCGGAACCTCTCATGAACTAAAGGGGACCCCTTTAGTTCAACCCTCCCTTTTTCCAGAACCCAGAACCCAACCAACCAACCAACTCGCCTGGTATGCAAAGCCCCTTAGCGTCATGGTCGGGCTGTCCATAGGGCCCCCCGGGGTGGAGGGTGCCGTACCGTCCAGTGTGTCCAGAAGGCCCTATGGAGGCAAGGTCCAGGTCCAGCCCAGGGGTGACGGTGGAGATGTTACAAGAAAGGTTTACGTGCCGTGAAAGGGGGAAAAGGGGTATGTCGTACGGGAATGAGATCACGGGGGAGATATACGGCGACCGGGGGTGCTAGGGGGATGTCGTACGGACACGACACCCCTGACGTCGGTCTGCAAATCGCGTCTGGTGAGCCGCCGCTCCCGCTGCCCCCCCCCCTGGGTCATCCTCCAACGGCGATCCTCATTCTCCTCCTCCCCCTCCTCCTCCTCCTCCTCCCCCTTATTAGGTTAACTGTTTCTCTTTCCACGAGGCTTTGCATTGAAAAGGTACCACAAGTTCCGAAATGCCCATCTGTGACCCATTTCGAGTTAGGCAACCCCGGGGGGAGGTCTGCTCATCCTTTCCTACCCCCCCCCACATCCTTTACGTACATACATACATACAGACAGACGCACTCGGAGCCCTAACCCCAGTCCCTACCTGCAACACCACGGGGCCCATGGCCTTGAGCTGGTGCCGGGCCGCGTGCTTAAAAACCCACACGCACAGCTCGAGACCCTGCTGCCGGAGCCGGGCGAACACGCCCGTCATGGCGGCGCCGCCAGCTCCACCGCCGCCACCCGCACCCCCTCCGCCGCCAGCAACAGCCCCGCCGCCGCCGCCGCCGCCGCCGCCGCTGGGCGGCATGACGCAGTCCTGGTGCGGGGGAAACCAGCGGCAGGGTCAGACGGAGGTGGGAGTGGTGGGGGGGTGAGGGGTTTAGGGGGGTGAGGGGTTTAGGGGGTAAAGACGAACCACAAACGAGTGAAGCTGCTGCCAGGGCAAGAGTGTACCAGACGTAGAACTGACCGAAAGGCGTCCGTTTAGGGGGTGTGAAGACCCCCCTTAGCTGGGATAGCAGAAATACGTCGCGAATAGACGCACAGTGAGAATGCGGTCGTGGTGTTGCGCTGCATGGGTGTTTGGGAGTGAAAGGCGGGGGAGAGGGAGGGATGGAGGGATGGGGCCCCACGAGGGCACACACATACAAGCCTAGACACCACCCTTCACGTTCGTCAAATTGACCACCGCGGACATACATACATACATACGTACGTACGTACGCACACAGGCGTACCCCATAGGGCCCACCTGCACTGTGAGCAGCGAGGCGGGGAAGGTGTTGGCGAATAGGATGCTCCTGCGCCGTACAAGGGAGAAATGTACGACGAGTAGTACGACATTAGAAGTGCTGTACAATTCAATTAAATCATTACCCATAGTTATCATCGTTGCACCGAAAACGGTTTAGAGGCGAAAGTGAGTTAACGGCAGTATTGAAGTAATCGACTACTTTGCTTCCGCGGCACCATTCGGTGGTGGTAACAGACAACAAGATCTATCACAGAGTTAGAAATCGTGACTGCCGTACACTGCCGTATTATCCGTACATACCTGCAAAAAACCGACACCAGCCGCGACCGCAGCGCAGCTGCCGCCGGCGACGCCACAAGGTCCGCAGGCGGCGCTGCCATTGCCGTACTGCCGCCGCCGCCGCCGCCGCCTTCCTCTCCAGTGCCGTCGAAGAACAGCCGTGTGGCGCCCCCATGGAAGAGCTTCAGGAGCTGTCGTACAAGTTCCGGATCTTCTAGATTCGCAGCGGGGCGATTTGGATCCAGGGCCGCGGATCTCTTCAGGAGCTCCTCCGCACGACTGGGGGTTGGGGGGGGTGTTATTACTGGTATGGAGAAAAATTGGTTCGGGAGTGGGTTGCGTGCCGCGGGGATGGGGTCATACATACCTATATACATATATACATAAATACACATACATATATACATACGTACATACACATACATAAACACTTGCCCCCAGCACCATCTCACCGTGCCACCAGCTCAGCCGGGTCGGTTGCACCCACCATCATGTGCGGCAACACCGCCCCCACGGGCAGCAACGCACCGCCAACACCCGCAGCAGCTAGCAGGTTCAGGAAACCCAACTTGCGACGAACCACCTAAGACCCGGGGAGAGATGGGGGGGGCGCGGGGGTGCGGGGGTGCGTATGTGTATGTGTATGTGTGTGAATGCGTGTGTGTTTGTGTGTGTGTAAGTCAAATGCGAACGTTAGTACAAAGGTCAGGAAACAACAACATAACGGTCAACAACCAAAAAATGTGCGCATGGTTAGGGAATATGTTGTGCATGTCCACACCCACACCCACATACCACGATACACTCCCAACCACACCCCGACTGCACACTTCTGCTGCTCTCCCTAACCTTTCCCTCGCCCCCTCGCAGCAGCTCTCCTTCTTCCTGCCATTTCCTATTCCCCACTCACGTTCGAATCCCACCACAGCCCATTTTTTCTTTTTTTCTCCCCCTCTGTACGGCCCACCTGCTCGGGAGTGGGGGCCCCCTTGGCCTCTAGCTGCCTCACGTCTGCTGGACTCAGACCTGGCGGCGGCGGCGGCGCAGCAGTAGCAGCAGCAGCAGCGGCTGCGGCGGCAGTAGCAGGGACAGGTGCGGCTGCTGCTGCCGCTGCTGCCGCCTGCACGAGTGTGTGGATGCGCGGACACGGGGGCACGGGGGTGGTAAACAAGACGTACAGCCTTCAGTCAGAAATACACCTACATACACATACATACATACACACACACTCGGTCTTCGGCACACGGGACATCGAAACACCTCCTATTCCCACCTCCCCCCCCAGCCCAACACCCCACACGGTGTTTTCTCTCCCCAGCACCAGCACCAGTAACCCAACCCTCCCCCCACCTGACCAGCCGCCAGCGGGGTGGCGGGCGCCCGGGAGACACGTGGCACGTACAGCATCAGCTTCAGGCCGTACGACAAGAACCTGCCGTACACAGCAATGTCAGGAATAGCACAACCAGCAGTACAAAGGGAAAGCGCGGGGCGGGGCGGGGTGGGCGGGGAGCGGCTTGTTGACCCTGACCCGCTTCTTTTTTACGGGAAGAAAAACAAAAACACATACACGAACAAAAGTACCCGGGGGGTCGGGGGGGAAATCGCATGCAAGGAAACAAGGAATTAACTGCCCGGGAGAGGGGTAGGCAGCGCAGAGCATGGCGGGAAGTCCAGGGCGGTCAGATCTGACTCGCGCACGACTCGGACTCGCAGAAGCTTCTCCTACTGGACACCGACCAACTGGACATCTGGGGCAACCCGCATTCAGGATCAGGCAGGCAACAACAACGCCTCGTTCGTTTACCTAAGCCACAGCCGTACTTGCTTGCCGTACAGAACATCTAACAGGTACGAACATGAACACCATAAAGCTAGGATACAGAGAGCCCAATGTACGGCAAGAGGCGTGTTTCGTCTAGCCCAGCGTCGGGTCGTTGTTGCCTCCAACACCCTAACCCCCCGAGAGTCGTACACCCTCCTCTTTCATACTTTGAGATGTCCCTCTTATTAACCCTCCATCAAAACCGTGTGTTCATTTTTCTGAACCCCGCTTCCCCCCGCACTCAACAGGTCTCGGTCTGCCTTGTCGGCCAAGTACGGAAATTTGGACCGCAACGCCGCCTCCGCCGCCGCCAGGGGTTGCTCCGAAGTCCCATTCTCTGTCGTGGACGCAATCGAGCCGCTCGACGGCACTACTGACGACGACGACGCCATCAGACCCGGTACGGCAGCTACACCACCACCAAGGCCGCCGCCACCGCCGACGGCGACGCTGACGTTGGCGCCCGGCGGCGGCGGCGGCTGGTGTTCCAGTGCCGCTGCGGCAATACGCAGCAGTATGGCCTGATGGTCGGCAGGCCGCCGGGATATGTCCGGGAGCAGCGAGGGGAGCTGGGGGGGGTAGGAGGGGGTGTTGAGGGGTAGGAGGGGGTAGGAGGGGGTGTTGAGGGGTAGGCGCCGGCGCATTTCCCGTGCATACGGGGTGTGGCGGATTGTAGTACACAAATACACATACACGGGGAAGCGGGGGCCGCTTGTGGGCCGAGGTGTAGAGGGGCGCGAAGTCATTCTGCATTGCAGGGTTCGAAGGGTTTTGAGGGGGGTGTTGCAGGTGAAGGGGGTGAAGGGGTGAAGGGGGGGGAGGGGACGTGTTTTGGACAGACAGGGTATGCGGTGGTGGGTGGGCCAGGAGAAGATGTACATTGGGATGTACAACTGCGGTACCCGTAGGCACGTACACGTTCGTACACAGGTACGAGTCTCGCTTGTCTCCGTCGTCACCTATCTTTTAGAATTTTTTTAAAATTCTGAAAGTTTTAAATCAGCGATTTTAAACTTACTCCGCCGCTGACTCCGGGCGCCATTTCCCTCTCGCGGCACGGTTTTGCACAAAGCATACAGACACACATACACACACACGCACATATGTACGACACACGACTTTTCCTCTCTCACCGCCGCCAGCCTGTCAGGTCCCGGAGCCCGCTCCGACGCCATCTCCGCGTACACCAGCGCAAAGTTCCGTACCAAGCTGTACTGCGTGACAGTTGTACCTACAGATGCCGTACAAACGCAAGGACGCCGCAAATTGCAGTTCCCATCGCGACAAACCCTCAATTGGGGCTGAACCCCTCTTGGCCCACACCTCCTCCCCCCTCCCTTCACCTCCTTGACATGTCGGAGGTCAGTTCTTTCGACTTGTGCATGTAATCATATCATCCCCCAGCCCCCCCTCTCAGTTCCCCCCCCCCCCCACACACACACACAGCCCCCCCCTTCCCGGCCCCACAGCTGCTCTAATTACCCGGGGGGGTATCGCTCCGGTACAATGCCACCAGCTCAGCCAGGGGCAGCTGCATCGCTGGGAGGCCCTGCAAAGGAAGCAGGATACGACATGTCGTACAGCAGCAGCTCAACTACCGCATGCACACCCATCATTCGAACTAAGTCCTATCGACGGACACAGAGAGAAAAAGACAGCAACGTGGTTCCAAACACGTGTTGCAAAAAAACCCACCTTTAGCCGTTTGTTCACGTGAGACAGGATTTCTCGGACCTGATAACACATGGTTGGGGCGTTGGGTGCGAGGATTATTTTTTCATAAATTTAATTTGGTAATATGTTTTAAAATATATATCATGAATTTGATAAAATTGCACAAAGAAAAAGGTTACTTGCCTATGTCCGCCGCAGCAGCAGCAGCAGCTGGGGTTCGGGGTCGATAACGGGAGTAGGGGGTGTAATGGTTGTGGATTGGGGGGGAAGACGAACCACAGACAGACAGACAGACAGACAGACAGGCAGACAGGCAGACATAGAGGTGGTGGTGATGGGGTGGTGGTGGTGGGGTGTGTGTGCGAGGGGGGGATCCCACTGTCCAACATTTGAGCAGCCGGTCTGGGGGCCGCTCGACTTTCCCCTCCCAGCCCCCTCCCAGCCCCCTCCCAGCCCATGCACCTTTCCCATTCCCCCGGCCAAGGCTGTGCACCTAACCAGCCCGCCTGTCTGCCAGTCCATATCCAGACCTCGGGCCCCCCCCGCCCCACCCTTCCATCGCCGTACCGGATCTACCTTGAAAACAACATACATTCATACATTCATACATACATACATACATACATACACAAATTGATAAGGGACGAGGCTGGGTGAAGCTTGAAGGTACCGGAACAGTCCAGGAGCGCAAACCAGACATTTCTTTCCCGCGCCACCCGGATCTTAACCCCCCCCACACACACATATTCCAATGCCTGTGTGCCGTACATGTGCCGTACCTTGTTGAATGTGGGTGGGTGGGGTGACTTGAGCTGTCCAATGACCACCGGGATCAGCTTTTGGAGGACCTGACGGGGTTCGGTGAGGTGGGGGAAGGGGGGGGGACTGTTGGCTAGGGGGAATATTTGCGCAAGGAACACAAGGCGCAGTGCGGGAGTTCAAATCCCCCTGGCACCGACTGCACCGCCTGACGGTTTGGGTTGGCCACGAGGGGGGGCTACGACGGAGCACAGACGATTGACAAAAAGAAATACCAAAGACGGATGAATGCTCTGAGGTTAGACCAATAACGTAGGAGGCGGAAAGGGGGGTGCAGTAAGTCATCTTATGCGAAAAGCAAAGAACCGACGAACAAGGCAATCTTCTAAGTTAAAAGTTCCGTACAAGTGCGGAGGGGGGGAGTAGGAAAGGGAGAAGGATGGGGAGCATTGGGGGGAGTTGCTGGCGTGTCAGCGGTGGGTGTACGGAACGGCGGACGTGTGTCACGGACTCCCCCTCGGGAAGGGGCGATTCCACCAAGGAATGACGTGGCATCATGTACGGAAGGGTCCTGCAGGTTAAAATGTAACTTCCGTCCGCCGGTTCAAGTGCTATCTTTCATTTGTGCCTGCCCCTGCCTCTGCCATCCCCTCTGGCAACCCCCCCTCCATCCGCCACCTTTTCAAGCTTGTCGTCATTGGTGAGTGCTAGGCGCGTGAGCACCCGGTCCAGCCCGGCCACCTCCTCCGCGGCTGCTGCTGCGGCAGCAGAGCCAGCTGGAGCTGCTGCTGCAGTTGCAGCCATTTTTGGCTATTTGGCAACAGGGGTGTTTGATGTGTGGCCAAGAGCCTGTGGGTTGAGATTAAGAGCTAGTTATACGAGGATGGAGACTTGAATGAATGCGTCCTGGGCCGTACATGAAGGTTTGGAGCATCTTGGGAAATGTGGATGAAGCATGGGTGGAGTTTGGGAGGAGGTTGGATGCATTACGTATATGTTTGCCGGGTCAGCTAGACAGGCGGGAGCATGGCACGCATGGCGACAAGTTGAAATATCGCATGAGCGAAAGCATGGGATAATTTGTTGATGATCCCTTCTAAGGCTGCAATGAGCGAGGTGGCATGAGTTATCACTTACGGCGACGTAAAGCACGACCAGATCCTTCTCTCGCTTGTTCCGCAGGTTGGGTTCTAGATACGCAGGTATAACCGCGTGCTTCAAAGTAATTATCACGTTTAATCTTTGCACGGATAACCTAGGTTGGCAATGTTTCTTGCAATTTGTTAAGACGCTTCTACATTAACGTTATGCAGCCGGAGCAAAGGTCAATAGGTTGCACAGGCAATCTGATGTGAATTCCCTGTATTCTTTGTAAGTGTAAAGACTAGAAAACACTATTGCTGTATGCCAGGCCCAACTCCCAACATCCCAAGAACCCTTCAGTTGCCGTTCACCGTTACATGTGCCAACCGAACACGCCCGCAAGGCCACGTCCTCAGATTCTATGGGCAGCAGATCGCTTCATTCCATTTGTGCATGTCTCCAAACGCACTTCAATGCCTATGTTGGGTTACCCAGCGTGGGTAAGGTTTGCCCTGCAGAAATTACTGATTTTACTGCCTCCTTGACCATGCCCACGCAAGGGCATATCCACATTTGTCCTATAAAGATGGTCAATCCACACGACCGAATTGTAGCATACTCAAAGTGCAAGCTGTGCGTGCAGGGCTGGAACTGGTCGAAGGCTGGGGCCCCGTGGTCGGTTGTGAACGGCGAATGTACGGATCTACAGAATACCACAAGGCGCCTCGAGCAGTATTGATGCTCGAAGCAATAGCTTTCTATCCATGGCTTCGTCGGAGATTCCTGCCATAACGCTGCACAGCCAGCTGCTTACACCGGAACCAGTTTTACGGCAAGAACAGATCAACGCCTAATTTGGTTTGCGCGGTGACTCTGATATCCTAAGCAAACTTGAGAGGTTGCTTTACATATAGAAACGGGAAAGTGAAGGCGGCTGCGGCGGAAATGCTGTCGGTTGGCCGAGTTCATGAGCAGGCCAGGTGGAAACATTTGCACAATGGCTTCATCGTGCATGTTGTGTATGCACGCGGCCTTGAGGGAATTGTGGTGGTACCAAGTTGATGATCCCCGCTGACGCAAGGCTTTGGTCCATGGACTTCCTGGGCGGATGCAGGCATGCGTGGATTGCTTTAGGTTGCACTGGACATTTGGACGCGCTCTTGTCCTTCTCCCGGGAGCTTTCGTCGCTGTCGATCGGCTCTACGGCTGTCGCCAGTGGAGCCGGGGACGCCCCAGCGAGCAAGGACAAGCATGACTTTCATCGATTATGCACAGACTTGTTTCGCGGCAGCATCGAAGATGCCAGCAGCAGCATCGTAGTCCATCATGACAAACCCAGGCAGTCTACAAGCAACCTCGTTACCAGCTCAGGCTTGAATGGTCATCTTGCTGCAACCGGGGCATCATTACTGGGGAACACACTGCGCGCGGGCGTCCTGGGCTTGACAGCATCGCCCGGCGCGCCGACAAATCTTTTGGGTTTGTTGCCTATCTCGGAGGCTCCCATCGGCTGCCGTTTGTATCATGGTTGGTACTACGGCAGTAAGCTTCGGAGCTATGACATAAAGGCCGCTTCCACGGTGGACCAGCTGTGGGCTCTGCTGCGGCGACATGGTGCCAAGTGGGTGCGGTAATTTCCGACCTGCTGATCAGGGCGTGCGCTGGGTAGCCCTCAATTGACGCGCTCACACGTGACCAGCTGCGTCATATTGTGTGTCCTGGGTTTGGCTGGGGTGGGGTGAGGTGAAGGGACACAACCTCCAATACCAGCTGAGACAAAACGTTAAAACATAGCAGGAGCAAGGCAGGAGGATAGTCGGGGAGCTGTTGGCGCGGGTGCTCTTGGGGGAAACATGCCTGTGAGAGCTTGTCCTCTCAATGCTCCGGGCCTCATCCCAATTACCTCCCTTTCTCCCCTAATTGCCGACGCCCCAAGTGGAGAAAGGGAGGTGAATGCGACGAGGCCAGGGGCGTCAGCAACAATTACTTAATTCTTCGGTACTGGCACATACTTCCCTGCCACCCTGTCCATCGTCAGTCGCCCCGCGCCGTGGATTATTTTGCGCTTGTAGGTCATGTGGGTCATGTAGTCTGCTTTTCCTTCAGTTTGGACCCAGCCGCTTACGTCCCGTTTCCCAACCACTTCCCCACTCTTTTCCCCCCCATATTCCCTGATGCAGCTTTTGTCTTTTCCTGGACTACTTTCTTTTCGCCCATTTCTGGTATCTGCTTTACCCGCCAGTAGGTCGTCTTACTTCTACTCCCCCATTCTCTCCACACACGCACACACACACCGAATCAGAATGGATCATGTCAACCTGGTGGCCTTGCTGCGGCAGCTGCATGTGGTCGCCAAGTCGTCGCCGTCATCGGCAGCGGCGGCGGCACCCAGGCCGGCGAGGGCGGCGGGGGCGGCGGGGCCCTCCAGTAAAGCAGTGGCTGCGGCCGTCACGGCCTCCTCCTCCCGTGTGTCGGCGAAGGAGTTGGCGGCTTTGGTGCAGGAGGTGACCCGCCTAGTGAAGAAGCGAACCAAATGGTGGGCGGGGAAAGGCAGCCTCTGAGCTCGGACTACCTGGGGCGCGTTTTCCTTTTGGTTTTCCTTTGGTGAATCGGTAAAAAAACCCGAGCTGGGTTGTTTGGCTTGGGTGGCAATCAGCGATTCTATGATAGGAATGATTCTTGAGTACCGATTACCTGTGCTGAAGAAAAATCGAAGTCTTGGGTTGCCAGTGATCATTACACTTAGGGGGGCTTAGGGTGTTGTTAAAGGGGGCGGGGGTTGATGTTACGGCGCTTTTGGTCCACAGCGTTGGTCTGAGCTGAGCGCTTGGGGCCTTTTACATGATCCAGCCGCTTGCTACCCTCCACCTGCTCGTCCGTACCCTCCTTTCCCGTCGCGTACGGCACATTCTGCCGCGCGTGTGTGCGGGTATGTATGCACTCTTGATTCCGCTGCTTCCGCCGCTGCTTCCGCCGTCGCCGTACAGGTTCGATCCCCGTTATGCCGCTGAGGTAGTTGACGTAACCGCCAACCTGGGCTACACGGATATTCGGATGTTGTACGACATGACGGAGAGGACGCTGGCCAGGTGGGAGGGTTTTTGTGTGTCGTTGTGTATGTATGTGTGGTTGTGTGGCGCCATGGCCACGTGTCCCCGACGCCTTGTGAGTCATCTGGCCTGGCTCTGCTAGAGAGCAGTGGACCACATGGGCTTTCCTCGGGGGAGGTGGAGGGGGGTGCGTCCGGTAGCGCTTAGGCCCTTGAATGGGGAGGAGCGGGGAGGGGAGGGGAGGAGCGGGGAGGGGAGGGGAGGAGCGGGGAGGGGAGGGGAGGAGCGGGAAGGGGAGGGGAGGAGCGGGAAGGGAAAGGCGAGGAGGGGAAAGGTGGGGAAGAGACGATTAGGTTAGGTTTGACCATGGAAAACAGTGGGGGGCGAGGAAGCACCTTTCATTACTGGACGCCCATGCTTGACCCGTCGAAAGGCGAGTAATATCATTTTACCATTTCGGCGTTCCTGTGTTCTTTTTCGCTGTCCTCGACAGAAAGCGGAAGCTTCCCCTTCTTGCCCCTTCCTCCCCAACCCTTCGTTTTCTCACCCACATCGCCTTTTCTTCCTCCTCCATTCATTTTCTCTCCTTCCACCTTGCTTCCCACCTTGATCTGGAAAACACGCTTCCGTGGTAATTACCATTTTTGCACGGCACATTTTCAAATCTCTTCTGGATCCAACCACCTCGACCCTCGTGGGGCCAAATTCTTTTCCCAGGCTTAATGAGGCTTACAGCAAGGACCTGATGGTCCTGCTTCGAGGTCTTAACCGTCACTCCAGACTGACTACTGCTACAGCCAACGCCGGCGGCCAAGGGCAACTACAGCTACAGCAGCAACAGCAACAGCAACAGCCGACACAACTACCGGCCGCATTCGGTAATGCTGCCGTCAACGCAACCGCTGTGAAACCCAATGGGAAGAGTGGTCAGACGCTGGATTGGCGGTTAATTCGTTGGTGGTACGGCGGCCCAACGGTCGGGTTGTTGGAGGGAGTGGAGCGGTTTATGTTGGCCAAGATTCCCACGGGCAAGATGGCGCCGGAGAACATTGACGGGTGGGTGGGTAGTGGTGTGGTGTGGGTTTGCAGGGGAAGGGGGAAGGCCATGTCCGAGAAGCAAAGAATCAACTGTGAAAAAGGGGAGGTGGTGTTTGCTGACGGAATCAACTGCCGACATCCCCAAAGGAGGAAGGGGTCCTACGGAAGTGGAGGGAAGAGGAGAGGGGCTGTGGGGGCTGTGGGAAAGGATTGTGAAGAGATGCCCTGAGAGGCCGGATCCGTTTGCCGGGATCTGCAGGGCCGGGAAGGGGGAGGGGGAGGTCCCATACTAACATAGTTCCAATTCCCCACTCCACATTCCCCTAGCGAAAAGACTGTCTACACCACCAGACCAGGCCTAGACTACATCCCAAGGACATCAAAAATGAAATGAATCTTGTGCGGGGCCTCTGTAGCACACGTGTCCCCTCTTGTCGGCCAGTTCCTGCACCCTCTTCCCCTCCGTCACGTCCTCCCCCTGCCGCCCTGTGGACTGCCGCCCTTTGCGGCCGCCCTTTGGCCTTTGGATTTGTTGGGCAGTTGATTCCTTGCTGCTGCTTGCATCATCATACTCATCATCATACTCATCATCATCAGCAGCATCATCATCATCATCAGCAGCAGCAGCAGCAGCATATGACTTTTCCTACCCCCCCCCTCGCGCCCGTTTCTGTCCTGTCCTGTCCTGTCCTGTGCTTGCCTCAGACTGTTGCGCTACGTCCTGGAGCTCCCCCACATGAACCGACCCATCAATCCGAAAGTACTGAAAGCCGTTGAGAATGATCTGCGAGAGCGAATTCAGATATACGCGCCCAAGCCACTGGCAGGTGCGTGTGTGTTGGCCGCACAGCCGGGTAGGTTGGTTGGTAGGTGGGTGGGTGGGCGGATAGGAAGGTTGGTAGGTGGAAAAGTGAACATATCCAGGGCGTACTGAACGGCGAGCAGGCATGAGGATCAAAGGCGGATATCATCAGAACAATATTGCACATGTCTTCTACACGTGTTCGCACGTTTGTCAATCCTGCTTGACAACATTTGTTTTCATGTTTGTGCTTTAAAAAGACTTATCAAATCTCACTGTTCTGGCCACCTCCCCCCGCCAATGACGCCCCCCTTCTACTTCTTCTACTCCAGGCGTGTTGGAGAGCTTGGTCGAGGCGCGCCACCCTCTGCCCCCTGACATGCTGGACTCAGCCGTCAACCAGTTCATGAAACACGGGGAGAAGCACGGCACCGGAAATGCCGCAGCGAGGCTCCTTGATGCCGTGGGGGGCATGATCAAGATCGGTGGCAGCAAGGGCGCCTCCCCGGGTCGCTGGTTATCTTCCCGCCCGGACCTGCTGACACTGTGCCTCAGGCTCATGGCCAGGGTAAGCCAGGCTAAGGTTCGGGGGTTGGAGAGGGGACGAGTGGCGAGCACGAGTGGGACCACCGAGCAAGGACGTGCGCGAGGGGATTGGGTGGTGGTGGTTTCGGGGCGGGAGATGGAGGAGGGTGGCCGAACAGGGGGTGAAAGAAGTAGGGAGGAATCAGAGGGGGATAACGCGGGGTAGAGCCGTGAGGTAGGTCCGAGGCGCTCTTTGATTTCGGAGCGCTCTTTGGTTTCGGGGCTAAGAAAACCCCATCGGACATTCCCCCTTTCCTTCTGAGCTTACCAGCCAGTTCTGTTCAGCTTTCCCTCAAGTGCGCCGCCAGGCCGGCGAACAAGGTTTTTCCAGCTTGCGTCGTCTCTTCCTCAACTCACGTCAGCTTTTTGCTCTTCGCCGCCTTTACACCTACCTCAAGAATATTACGGATGGTTTTCCTGTTCTGCACTTTTAATTTTAATCTTGGCGACGGTAGTTAGGTAGTTTTATCGTCATGACTACTAACATCATCGCGAGGACTTCTTCTTCACAACCGCCGACTGGTTGGTTAGTTATGCCTTCCTTTTCCCTCTCGCGCATCAGTCTTTTCTTGGCATCAGCTTCACTCGATCGTGGTTCGTCTTCCCCCAATGCTTCTCTTCCCCCGGGCCCACCACCAAATTACCCCGAAGCCGCAACCACCCCACCACCTAGTCCATCCCCATGCATACCGTTCCCAGCCCGATCCACCCGACAGACTCATTTTTAAGGTCTCTTTTGTCCCTTCTCTTCCCTTTCCTGCACGCACCTCCCACCCAAGGATCTCCCCGCGGCCCAACCCGAGCGTCTCGCCGAGCTCATGTCGGTGAGACAAGACACCGTGGGCGGAATAGTGTGGGTTACGGAGTTGGAGGTTAACGGGATTCCGGGTTGGTTTTGGGTTGTTTAGGAGCTCTCGTTGTGGACGGGGAATAGCTAAATAATGTCCTGTGGTGGTGGTTTTAGGGATTAGCAGATGTGAAGGATATGTACGGCACTGCATTAGACCATGAATCGAAACTATGGATTGTTGCAGTTGAGATTGTGTTCAGATTTAGAGCCGTAATGGATAAGGGTGGGGGGGGGACAAAGGCGGTTGGAGGTTGGGAGGGGCGGTGAAAGACGCTGGTAGGAAGGTAAGGAGGAGAGGGAGGGAGGGAGGAGACTGAGGGAGAAAAGGCGCAAAAAGGCTTCTTTTTGCTGAATATATATTGCTCCTCTTTCCCCCTCCCTGGCCGCCATGTCCCTTAGCCCGCTCCCTCTGCACGGATGCGATGTCGGTTGGTGGTGTTAGAATCTGCCGCTTCCCCCTACAGTACTGTTATTTTCTGTTTTTAGATGTATTTATTGTATATATTGTTTTCATTTGTATTTATTTTTTTGTTTATTTGTATATATTGTTTTATGCTGTATTTGTTGTTCAGCCTGTTGGCATCCTGAACCGCTGTTTCCCCCCACCCCTCCGTCTCCAACCCCACCCCTAACCACCCTTAGGTACTCGTGCGTGTTGAGGTGCCGCTGGCTTCCCTGGCGGCCAAGGCGACGACTCCAGGGGCGGGGGTATCCGCCGTAACGCCAACATCACCGGCACCTGCCGCCGCAGCAGATGCTGCAGCTGCAGGTACGAACGCTGCTGCAGCCGGTTTCATCCGAGCGCATAAGACCGCCGTGGAGGCTGTGTCGCCGCGGCTATCTAAAGACGTGGCGTCCAAATTACGTAAGGCGTACGACACTCTGGGGCTGCCGTACCCGAAGGGGCTTTGAGTTCTTTTCCTAAACCTGCGCGTGCTGCTGCTGTTGCCGCTGTAGTAGCCAGCAACCATGTATCGTCATGTATCGTTATCCGCTTCTTGATGTGGATAATGACAACGACGATGACAACGGCGATGAGGGGAAAGAGAGGGAAGAGGAGAGGGAGGCGGAAGAAGGGGCGAGGGAGGAGGAAAACACGGGATTCAGGCGGCAGGTAGGGGTAGGACAAGGAGGAGGACACGGGTGTTGGGGCACGAATTCTGGGGACGCGGGCCGGCGGGGAGGGTGGGGTGCGCGGGGTTGGCCGTGGAGGTGGAGAGCTGGTGGCGGGTAGGAGACTTGGCTACCTTAGGCTTAGCTGGACCGACTGCATTGGAAAGGAGAATTATGGAGGAGATGAAGGGGGAAGCAGGAGGATGGCAGAGGGCTCCGGGGGTATGTGTGTGGGAGGGGCGATAACAGGCGGTTGTAGGGGTGGTGGTGGTGGCCGTAGTGCGGGTTGTTGGCGGGAGAGGGGCCAAGGTGGGTTGAGTACGTGTACCTGTACGCGTGCGTGTGTATGTGTGTATGTAAAGGGGATATCGTCGAAATGGTAGCAAAGGCCCAGCAAATACGAGTGGGGAGGGAGGGGGCCGTCGGCGGCGGTCCCACCCTGATGGAGCTAGGGGGGGGCTCCTGCTGCACCAGCTATTGCCTCTACACTACACCTCTGTGGGACTATGTGTGCGTATGTGTATGAAACAATGAACAGAGAATGCGTTTGTGTTTGCGTAGGATTTTGTGTTTCTGTATGTAGTCCTTGTATGCGGGTGCACGCGTCCTGGTTGGTGTTGTTATCCGGGTACGTGTATGTTATCCGGGAATCATTAGTGTGCCTGCAAGCCTCGGTACTCCTGCAACCTTCTTCTCTGCCAGGCCGAAGTTTTGCCCTTACCACCATACGAGTGAGGTGGGCGGTTTCCATGCGGCGAGTACGTCCTCGTGGCAATATGGCAAAAGAGAGTCAACAATTCTACACATTTTACACACACACACACACACACACACACACACACACACACACACACACACCCGGCTCCCGGACCCTGGGCCGAGGATGGCGGGAATGCCCAGGCGTTGTTGCGTTTAAAGGCCGCCGGCTCTCTCATGTCCTTTCCTCTCCTCCTTGAGGTAACAGCTTGTACCGGTACTCGCTTATACCTCACTCCTTACCGTCGCCATTTTTAACAGCTTCCGAACATTTCAACATGTCCCTTCCCAAGGAATTGCTCTTGAATTTAGGAGTGAGAAAGCGCAAAGGCGCTAATTTGCACAATGTGATGTCGGTTTGGGGAGTAACGGTTTGAGGAGGAATTTAGAAAACACGGCCGGTAAGGAAGGTTAGCAAACTGTTTTGGAACAGTGTCAGCTTCAGTTAAGTCCAGTCAGCCCTCCTTTGAACTTGTCGTAGGACACGCCGTACGATCTGGACGACTTGTCCGATTATGTTTCCTTAAAGCTCCTGCTGAGAGCTGAGTTAATCACCCGCCTAATTACGTGTAACAAATCGTGGTCAGGTTGCTTCGCTAAACGTGCATCACGCAACGGCACCAGGATTTATATAATAGGCTATGAGCCCCGATTAGGTGGGGAACTCAAAGTGGCCGAGGTAAAATGGCGAAAGGTTTAGCAAACAACAAAGGCAAGCACCCCAGCAGGAAAGGCATAGAAAGGTAAGAAAGGTATAGCACCCGCCACGTGGGGGTCCTGCGGAGTCACCCGAAGGTGGTGTTGGTTTTTCCTTGTGGGGTTGACGCACTTCGCTGCCGGTTTACGCACTTCCTTTTGCTGAGCCCGGGACCCCAAGTAACGAATGGTGTACGGAAATGGTTTTCATTACGGTTATAACTTGCACTGAAGATGCACCTTTGGACTTTGGAAACGAACAATCATCCTGTTTGGCAACCTGATGAAAAGATCCATGGCATGGAAGAAATGGGAAACAGCGGATGTTTCTGATGCTGATGTTGCGCGTTGCACAAAAAGTGAATGGTCGTCACGGTGGAAAAGGAAATCAAAGAAAATTCCAAGTCAAACTTCCATCCCCATTGCGCAATTCAAACTTCCATTCGCAAGCCAAATTTCCATCCGCAATGCGCCTGGCCGTTGACCCACAACGACAGCACCGACGCTTATGGACAACTATCCAGTTACAGCGCGAATAATAGTTAGTCGTCTGAATTCGACATAAGGTCTCTCTGCAAGGTTTACAAGATGCACAGCTTTGGGAGACGTAGAGACACGCTGTCGTAAACGGCGACCCTCCTAGTGAAGAACGTGCCGCGTTATCTTATGCGGCGTAGTCATTGGAACGAGATGTATGTTTTGCCCATGAAAACAATATGCTCTTTTGCGGAATTTTGACTGCGTCTGCCGATGCCCGACATGTCATTTGTGCCGGTCCGACATATCTTCTTGGCTATCAACCTGTACATACAGAAATTTACAGAATTTTTACTTGTTATGGATAGTGTAACGTACGGATATGGCCATGTTCATGCGTTACCGCCGCAAAGTCCACCTCCTAGACATGCAGGACGCTTATCCTTAAAATACAACTTTAATTAGTGAATTAATTCGTGAATAACTTGGACCAATAATAAAAACCTGTGTAAGCTAGCTCCCTGTTACTTGTTACAGTTGAAATGCGAGGTTTTAATGTATGTGGGTAAGGCGGAGACCTCCCTCTGGCAACGCGCAGTAGAGGGGGGGAGGAGCTAACCTTAACTCAGCATCTGTCCAAACGCTGTTGCTTAAGCTTCAATTGGCGCCAGGAAAACAAGCATGGCATCTTTATTTCAGAGCAAACCCTATGGGCCTGATTTGCTGGCGCTCGCCAAGCAACTTGGCGTCAATCCGGTAAGCTGTCATGTCGTAGCTCTATATTTCTCATCATGCAGCAGCTCGTAGTGTCATACCCTTTGGGGCTTTCAGAAACGCCGAAAACTACCATGACACCGTCACGCGACAAGACGCGCGAATGACATCCGCGACCGCGCCGCGCCCCGTGAAACGTCGCCGCATTTTATCACAAAGGCCAGCTCAGAGAGCTTGCTTTTCAGTCACCAATTTCCAGGAACAAATTATAGTCCTGCTTGAACAGGCTAAAAGCGCTCGTTCGCGGTGGCGGCCCGCTCTTTCCTTACGCAGAAAGACCCGCGACTCATGCTGCTGGTCGAAGATATGGCCAAACCCGAATCGCTGCCGGCGCGATGGTCATCCAGGTTCGACTCCAAGAAAAAGAAGTGGTAAGTAATAATAAATTCCAAACGCCCGGGTACATTTGGCGCATGCAGTCACCGACTTGCTCACCATCTCGACGGCAATTCCTTTGCCTGTGGTGGTGCCCAACCTCCATTGCGGACTGTTATGTGCCGTGTCTCCCCTCCCCGCGCGAGCGCCAGGTTACGGTCCCTCTCTCCCCCACCCGCAACCTCCCTTCAGACCCGCATCCGGCTTCCACCACCTGCAATCGCCCACCCAAACCACTATACGCCCCGCTTCACAGATCCGCGCTGTAGCTCCTTCACCACCACTGCAACTCTTATCATCGTCTCCCCTCCTCTCTGCCCCTACCTCCAACTTACATACCACAGGCCACAGGCCGGTCAGATACTTGTAGCCTTCACACACAAACCCACAAACCCGCACACACAGATTAGTTCAACACGCATAGCACAGAAAGAACAACACGTATCTTGACACACTCGGCCCACGAACTTGCACAATACATAGACAACGCACTCCAAACGCACACGTGGTGTGTTTTCTCAGGCTATACACGTTCCTACCCACGGGGGAGGTGAGCGCTCAGCACCCCTCCATCGACTACTACCGTGGTGCACTGTTCATGGACATGGGGGGCTACCGGGTGCTGCTGAGGAACCTGGAGGCCAGGCCGCCCACGGAGGAGGAGGTGGGTCGGTGGGTCGGTGCTGACCGCTCCTGCATCGCCTCCTATTTGTTTGCCACGGTTGGAAACCGTTATGCGTTTGTTTTCTGAGCTCCGGGGCCCTCATGCTAGTGCCTGCTAGCTGACCGACCGACCGACCGACCGACAGACAGACAGATAGACGGACGGACGCACGGACAGACTGAATGGCTGATGGCCCGTGCAGATCAATCGCATGAATGAGTACTTTGCCATTGGGCAAGAGGAGGATCTGTACATTCGGGAGGTAGGTCCGGGGGAGGGAGCGGGGGGATGGAGTGGGCGGGAGGGAGCGGGGAAAGGGCTGCGGTGGGCAGGCTTAAGACAAAAAAGGTGCGGGGCGTGAGAGGAAGGGAAGAGAGGAGAAGTCGAAGCCCCGGTGGTAAATCAACTCTGGGTGTTGGGAAGCGGAGCGAAAGCCAGGCGAGGCTGGGTTACAGAAAATAAGGACTGGACTATTTTTCCTCCCAGACCTGCGAAGCCAAGATCTAAGTGAGCATTGAGCAGCCCCCCTTCCAAAACACTTTCCTGTTAACCATTCCATGCAGCTCCTCAGGTAGGCTCCCACTGGAAGTATAAATACATACATACACACACAAGCCCATAGATAGATGTTTATGGCATCTATCTATTTCAGACAGCTCTAGGCCCCCTGGTTCTTGGGCCCTCTCAGGGCTCGTAAAGCCCCAGGTACGTCTTTAAAGAGTAACGCAATACGAGGTTTAACACAAACACATACAAATACATACATACACACATACATACACACGCACATAAGCGCACATGCATGCGCGTGTTCTCACACCCGGCCCGGCCAGGCGCCGACACAGGTCCACATGCACGAATCCTACCCACTACTGCCCGGCTGGCGTGTTTCCCAAACCCACCGGACGGCCTCCTGGCCTTCCCCCGGAGCTCCCTCCACCCACGCCCACACCCACGCCAACACCCCAACCCACGCCCACACCCACGGGCCCCCCCCTCCAATACACACACGGTCGGCCGCTCGCAGGTGGGGCAGCTGGCGTGTGTGGCTCCGCTGCCCGAGGGCTTCGAGGAGATGCCGGATGAAACAGGCACCGGTGCAATGTATAAGTGAGTGGGAGTTGGAAGGGGTGCGAAAGTCGCCTATATGTCAACCCTACTTCACCTCCGCTTCTCAACGCAGTCCTGGTCCGCTCACCCCCCGGGGCCCACACACACTTCCATGTGTCCTCCGCCCGCTATGGTTCGGTCTGACTAATCCACGTTTCCGCAGCCGCATGTTTTGCCCCATACCCCGGCGCGCGGTGCATCACCCCTCACCTCACCTCACCTCACCTCACCTCACCTCACCTCACCTCACCTCACCTCACCTCACCTCACCTCACCTCACCTCACCTCACCTCACCTCACCTCACCTCACCTCACCTCACCTCACCTCACCTCACCTCACCTCACCTCACCTCACCTCACCTCACCTCACCTCACCTCACCTCACCTCACCTCACCTCACCTCACCTCACCTCACCTCACCTCACCTCACCTCACCTCACCTCACCTCACCTCACCTCACCTCACCTCACCTCACCTCACCTCACCTCACCTCACCTCACCTCACCTCACCTCACCTGACCTCACCTCACCTCACCTCACCTCACCTCACCGCACCTCATCTCACCTCACCTCACCTCACCTCACCTCACCTCACCTCACCTCATCTCACCTCACCTCACCTCACCTCACCTCACCTCACCTCACCTCACCTCGCCCGGTGGGTTCTGATCGGACCGTACCTGATGCGTGTGCAGGGACAAGGAGACAGACATCGTGTTGGACGAACATCCCCTGGACGCCTACTTCCGGGAGCTGAGGGACCGCAGGCGGCGGGAGCTGGCCAGGAGGCGGCTGGCAGCCCTTAAGGCCATGCAGGTGTTTGGGGGGTGGGGTGGGATGGGAGCAGGAGCGGGTCCAGGGTTTGGCTGCCAGGCTTACCTCTGCCTCAAAACCTCCTGCGCGTACACACAAGCTAACGTGAAGGTTCCTTCTAGGGAATGTACCTCACTCCATCCCAGCTCCTGTCATCCACCCGAAATGCCCAAAATGCGTAATTTCCAACTTTAGGCGCTGAAGGCCTTGCACAGCAACACGAAGAAGGAGGGAGCTGAGGGCGACAAGGACAAGGAAAAGGCCTACAGGGATGCGGATATTGAGGAGGCGGGAGAGGAGCAACACGAAGACCCACGGGTCAAAGCGCTGGAGGTGGATTGGCAGCTCTTGCAGGTAAGACGATGCCGCGGATCTAACGGCCTTGAGGGGGTGACCCAACTAACTAACTAACTAACTAAATAGCCAATTACCTAAAACTGGGTGTTGGCTAATGGCTATTCGGGTTCATTGAGCTCAAGCATCTTTTCGCACCGCGCCACTATATTGCCGTACAGAACGCCGCCAGCAAGGCGGCGGAGACGCTGGCTTCCGTACACACCATCACCGCCAACCTGCCAACCACTCCCAGCGGCCTGGCGGCAGCGACGGCCGCCGCCGCTGCTGCCGGCATGTCGAAGTGGCCCAGCAGGAGCACCTCCCATACGAGCATCAACGGTAACGCCGTAGGCCGGCGGCCCCTCACGCCAACTTCGCAGTCGCAGATCTCCACCACGCCCCTCACGGGCCCCGAGTCGGGCGCTACGGCGTCTGCGGGGCAGCTGACGCGCGCCAATACCGCCAACACCGCTAACACCTCCATTTTGGCCAATGTGGTGCTGCCGACGCCGCCGGGTAGCGCGGCAAGCGACAGCCGGCGGCCCAGCCGAATACCTTCTGCACATCGTATGGCAACATCAGGCAAGCGAGGATGCATGGACTGGGGAGGTTAGGGAACGAAGGCGCGACATGGAGCGAAGGGACTTGGGGCTTCGAGGGTTTCCAGGGTTTAATCGCCCGGATAGATCCCACTCATATATCTGTGGGGGGGCTAATAAGGGGCATATCGCTCCTGTCCCGTCCCATCCTATGTGGTGGTCCCCAGCACCATCATAACGCGTTTTTCCGTACCTTTCCCGTACCTTTCCCGTACGTTCCGGCCGGGTTCCTCTATACATACCGTAATTGTTGGGTAACATGCGTCTCCCTCCCATACATTTGGGGGGCCTGAAAGCCCTCAGCTCCAGGGGGTGCCTTTTGTTGCAACTTGAGCGGGGGAGGAAAACAAACCCCGAGAGCTACCAGAGCCCCGCCCGTGCTTGGATGTTGTTCGAATGTCTGAACGGTGTGTACGGTCCGTACTCACCCCTCAAGCCAAACTGCTTGATGGGCTTGCGGGGTGAGTAAGGACCGTACAAGTACGAGCAGCATCTGGCTGTTGCCGACTGCCGGTGCATGTCCAGGGAAAGTATACATACCGCCGTACAGATATACATATATAAATATATTTATATCGCCGTACCTTGTATGCCGTATATATATGTATATATGTATATATGTACGGCAGTATGTATACTAGACCCCCGTTTTTGTATCCATGTATGTCCCCGTATACGGGCAAGTAGGTCGAGTGGCACCTATGACACCGCCACGGCGTCTCGATACGCTGTTCATTCGACTGAACAGCGGGGAGAGTTCTCCCCACCTCCCTCCCGCCTCCTTCTTCCTCCCGCCTCCTTCTTCTCCCCGCGCTCCCTCCCTTCTACGCAGGAACGCTCATTTCAGAGACGCTGCCAGACGGCAACGGGCCTGGAGCCAGCGGCAGTCTGTTCCCCACGGCCATGGGCGGCCCCCTCATCGACGTGGAGCGCCTCCTCCAGCTGCACCGCGTCACGTCAGAGGCCCTGGGAGCTGCGACCACCGTCTCGGCGCTCCTTGCGCCTCCGAAGACACAGATGGGAACCAGTGGACGGTCAAGCGCTTCCGTTAATGGCGGCGACGCCGCCGGCGCCGCGGCCGCCGGTGAAGGAACGGCTAGCAAAGGGACCCAAGGAAAGGAGCAGCAACAGCAGAAGGGTAAGCATGTGTCGTACATGTGTCGTACATGTGTAGTAGCTGGCTTAGGGCTTGGAATGTATGTGTGCATCCGTGTTGGGATATGAAATGGAATAAAGCAGTCAGCTGGAAGAGCAGGGATTGAGTGAAAATGAGGTAGTGAACGAATGAATGGCATTACAGTGGATGCTGGGGTTAAGTATATGCCGGCAGTGCCCAGCATATTTTGGAAAGGGTGGAGGGGAACTTCATCAGGCGATCCCTGCTGGCAAGGCATGAAGACAGCAATTCTAAAAGGAATGCATTTATTGCAACACCACAAGTCCCAAGCTATCAAGCTATCGGACGACTGGAGACGTAACCTCCGGTCGGAGTGGCTGTCCTGCCTCATAGAAGGCATTTCGAGTAAGCTCGTACGCTGATGTACTGCTACGATGTACGCAGGCTCAGACGACTCCCTGAACTCCCTGTTCGAGCCCGCGATTTTAGACCTGGACGATGCTGCCTTTGCCATGGCATCACAAGTAAGTGTGAACGCAGGGATTGTGTGTGTATGTATGTTGTTACAGGGTGGTTAACTTCGCCAGCGGCCCCCTTTCCCGGGGCAGTCCCTGCTCTCCCCTGCTAGAGGGGCACCCTAATCCGTCACCCCATCCGACTTCAGAATGTATTCGTTGGGTTCGGCAACTCACCACCAGCATCCAACCAAATCTAGCGGATCAACGGCGCATCAACTTAGTTCCTGGTCAGCTGTGTATGTATGAGGGGGTTCATATCTTCGTCCTGCGGCCGCTACCCGGCAGATGCTGCCTTCCCCAGTGTTTCGGGGCATCCTCATCCAATCACCATAGCCATCTTCTCAGTGGATCGCTTAGGTTCAGCGTCCACCACCAGCGTTCAACGGAATCAGCCAGATCTACCACGGCCCCTGGTCAGCGCGCGAGTTAACGACTAGGGGCACTTTTACCTTCCACCGTTAAAAGTATTCTTCGAATCTGACGGATCTCAATCACGAAGTTTCTGAGGCAACTTTGCCATCAGGGGCATATAGTTGTACTTAAGATGACACGACCCAGGTTCGAACTGGGGACCTCCTGTGTGTGAGACAGATGTGATAACCAACTACACCATCGTGTCGTAGATGAACATCCCTGGAAAGTTTAGATATAGATTATACGCTATGTGTATCTAGCGAGGGTCTATTCGTGTGTATCTAGGGACATTGCCACTAAACAGTTGTGGATGAGCTGATGTTGGCATGAACTCCTCAACAGCTCGCTGGGTTGGACGACCCAGCCATTCGGCCATTCATAAATCACCGGCAATACCTGCAAGCAGCCATCACCACCACCATTAGCACCACAACAACAACACGTGTTTGCGATACCAATGCAATACATTGCAAACCAAATAGAACTACTTCGTCATGACGAGGTAAATCTGTACAGTGCCGGTAAGTCATCGACGGAAAGGGTACCCCAACCTCCCAGTCAGGCCGACTCTGACGGAACCCAATTTTGCTTCAACATGCATGCATGCTTGTGTACCTGACGATGTGTCAATGTGGAATAAAACGAAAAATTACTTAGGATTCTTTGCGTGCCTCTCTCGCTACATGTAGGCCATCCGCGCAGTACGGCAGACCCTGGACACCACCTGCCAGTACGTGGCCCTGTTGCCTCCTGAAACGGGCCAAGCACTGGCGTCCTTGCCAAAGCGTGAGGGATGGGGGCAGGGGAGTTGGGAGATGGAGGGAGGGGAGTGGGGGAAGGGAAGGAGGACGACACGAGAGAATGAGGAATGGTGGAGCGGGCGGGGGTTAGGAAGGGGTAGGGAAGGAGGGAAAGAGGGAGAAGAGGGAAGTGGTAGGGAACGAAAATTCTTAGGGCGAGGCCGTGGCCACAGGTCCAAGGCTTTCCCCCAAGCTTAAAACCTATGTTAAGAGAAGTCCATGGTTCCGTGTGCACAGCTAGTATCGTATGTGTCGACATGATATAGCATAGGTATAGATCATATATAGTCGATATAATGTTACACGCGCCGCAGGGCTTCACCACATCCTCAACGTAATGCGCTCTGCAGCGCCATGGCACGTAACCCACGACGGCAGTTCCACAAACCCTTTGCATACTCCAACAACGTTAACGACCACGTACGGCATCTTATGCACTTAAAATCCCTTTTTCTCTTCCTCGCGCCACATGCACGCAGTCTGGCTAAGCATCATGCGCCAGGTCCCACCAAACTGGGCCGAGCGCATGCGTCTGAGCGCATGGCCCCAAATCCTGACGTGGCTGCCAAACGACTGGGTGGAACGAGTGCAGCAACATTTGAAGTCTCACACGGTAGGTTAGTGGCCGGTGCCCCTGTTGCTGCTGCTGCTGCTGCTGCTGGTCGTGGTGGTGTTGGTCTTTTAATATGGTGAATGAGTAACTTGATGGTGGTTTGTTAGCTGGATAGCTAGCTGGTTTTGTAGCACTAGCCACTGTTTGGGATGCGATTCGCAGTGATGTCAGAGTGGCGATTGATTCTTTCTAGATAATCACTGTAACTAAACAGTTCTCCCACATGCCCGTCTGCCTGCTCGTACACGGCGCAGGAGCTGTCTGAGGCTGCGCTGCCGGCTTCACTAAGGGTAAGCACACAGCCGGTAACACATTCATATTGTACGGCTGCGTCACAGGAACGCGAGATGGGTGGGGTCCTTGCAAGTCTGGGGATGCACGAAACAGAGGGAACAGCGAGCTGTCGGGTCGAGCTGTCGGGTCGAGCTGTTAACCCGTTGTCTCCCTCACCATTCATTCGTTCCCACTCCGCATATACGTGTCGGTTGTCGTTTCTGGTGCCTGTGTTGCACGCTTACGTGCATGCATGTGTGCACGTGTTCGTGTGTGTGTGTGTGCCTGTGCCCGTGCATGTGTGTGTAGAATCTTCCGCCAGGCATCTTGCACGGATTGGAAGCGATGATTATAGCCGCCCGCCCGCGCAACGGCCAAGCCACTGGCGAGGGTGATGCCGCCACTGTCTCTGGCGAAAGGAAGGACGGCGCCGGAACCGTGTCAGGTGCCGTGGCTATGAGTCGCTCCTCGAGCCTCAGGAGGTCGGGTACGGTGGAGGGTTCCAGGGGACTGCAGCACCTAGGGCAGCAGCAGGATGCGGCAGCAGCAGCAGCGGGCAGCAGGTTCAACAGTACCGATGTGGAACGGCTACGACACCTCTTGGAGAGCATCGCCATTCCCTCAGTGATGACGTCGTTGATGGACCTGCCACCAGGCTTGCTGGAAAGGTGCGTGCGTACTTGTAGCTCCCGCAGATACGTGTAGCTTTGATTGCGTGCTTGCGGGCAGGCCGTCATAGCGACGTGAGCTAATCGAGGTGCTTGGAAAGCATTAAAAGACATGCAAGCGGCATGACAGAAGACATGGCCGCGCGGCGGCACTCCCGGGACCATATGCATATGGGTATTCTCCTGTTTTCCCCTGTTGTTCGGGCATCGGGCATCCAGGGACATATACAAAAACACCCCTCAAAAATCCCGCCACCGCAAGACACGAGACAATAGCAGGTTCTGCTAGCCTGTGTGAATTACAGTTACCATTGCGAAGATGGTCGCATGATATAATCCTTTTGTTTCTTATCCTGTCCGCTCTTCACGCATGTCGACATCTTCATCATCAAGGTTAATGGAGCTCCCTACCAGGGCCTTGGAGCAGCTGGCGGCGCTCCCGCAGGACGTGGTGCAGGCCCTGCTCCACGCCAAAGTGGACGCGGATTCTCTGGGAGCCGTGTTGGTGAGCCTGGCCGGGCTGCCGCCGGGCCTAGCTCGCAGGTGCGTCTCTCGAGAACTATCGTCGACTGCTGGATACCTACACGGTCAACTACTACTCCTGATTCTTTAATTGAATTTCCGTATTTTTCTGCCCTCACACGCGATTGATTCAACTCGCAGCTTGTATAATCGTCCTTCGTTACATGCAGTTGATTATTTGCTACTTCAGGTTGCTGCTGCCGCCGTTCGCAGATTGATGTGTATGGGTTAGACGCATGCAACGATACCATTTGTCCTTACTTGTTAGTTATAGTTACCACGCCATATATAAGAAGCACAAGTACGCGCACGCACCGCAGTACACAGCAGTACATACATCGCATAATAGTTTATCTTGATTTGTCCTCTTCCCTTGCATTCCTTCCGTTATCCTCTCCTGTCACACACCTTCTGTCGCATGCTGTCTGTCCTTATTTCGTCGCGTCACTTCCCCGTCCAGATTATTATTCCCTCGTCCAGATCGAGCTAACACATCGATCTGCCCGCCGTGCATCCGCTCTAACTCAAACATTCCATAGTTTCACTCTACCCCATCCCCACCCATCATCTGACTCCACCCTGTCTTCAACAAATCATTAGTGTGTTGAGCCTGCCTCCTGGTGCATTGGAGAACCTGGCAGCAATGGAACCTGCGGGCATTCAGGCCTTGGCCTCATCCGACCTCGACCCTGACTGCCTCAGCCGCTTGCTGGCCAACGGACCTCCTCAGTTACTCTGCAGGTACGGAATACAGTGCACGGCGCTGTACATCCGTGTAGGAAACGTGATAGGTGAACTCCGAGCGAGCGAGATTCGCGCTCACATCTATGTGCTGCTGGGTGTTTCAGAAGCGATGCTGCGTATCGCTCCGAATCCAAATCAAGGAACCTGCACGATTTAAACGTATACGTACATACGATCCTAGGATGAGGCAAGCACAATAAGTTACTCATGCCATTGATTTCTGCAGGTTGCGTGCCGCTCAGGTGGTCTGAAGTGTCCAGTAGCCAAACATAAAATAAAACAATAAAGTTAACCCTCAACTAACTAGAAGGAATAACCCGCGCACTTTCCTACCCACCCGCGCATCCCTGTCGCAAATCGTTTTTATATTTTCCTTGGCAGGCTCGCCGAAATTCCCGCTTTTGCCCTGGAAAAGCTGGCCAACGTTCCTGCTTCTGTCTTATTAAGTTTCGCCAGGCTCTCCACCCCCAGCCTCGAAAAGCTTTCCGTGTTCCTCGCTTCCACACTGGAGAAGCTTGCCAAGCTTCCGGCTTCCATCCTGGAAAGGCTCGTCGAACTACCAAGTCCTGCCCTGGAACGCCTAACCGATCTGCCCACATCCGCCCTGGAAAGGCTGGCCAGCCTTCCGGCCTCCGCCCTGGAAAGGCTCGCAAACGTTCCCGCTCCTGTGCTGAGGAGAGTGGCTGACGTCCCCGCCGCAGCCCTGGAAAAGCTCGCCGAACTGTCCCTGTCCAGCCTGGAAAAGGTTGCAGTACTCCCCACACCCAGCCTTGAAGATCTCGCCAGAATTCCCGCGTCTGACATTGCAAGGCTCGTCGGGCTACCCATTTCCATCCTGCAGTGGCTCACTGGACTCCCCACGGCCACCTTGAAAAAGCTGATTGTTGTACCCATGAGCACGTTGGAACGCCTCGCTGGCATTCCTGTCCCCGTCTTGGATGTCCTCGCAAAACTGCCGCCTCCGACCATCACAAAACTCACCGAACTCACCTCTTCCGCCTTGGAGAGGCTTGCCGAGCTGCCAACTGCTGCGCTAGAAAGGCTTGCCGAGCTGCCCGTTTCTGCGCTGGAAAAGCTTGCCAGTGTTCCTGCGCCTGCACTGAGGCGGCTTGCCGACGTATCTGCTTCCGTCCTGGAAAAGCTTGCCGACGTTGCCCCGCCTGCCTTGGAAAGGCTAGTTAACGTCCCGCCTTCTGCCCTTGAAAAACTTGCCGAGGCGCCAGCTTCTACTTTAGAAAGACTGGCCGAAATACCCGGACCCACCTTGAGGCGGGTTGGCGCCATTTCTGTTTCCGCCCTAAGACGGCTAGCCGCCATTCCGCCTTCCGCACTGGAGAAACTTGCCAACGCTCCGCCGTCCGCACTAGAAAGAATCTCTGGTGTGCCAGCGCCTACCATGGGGCGACTTGTCGATGTGCCCCCTGGCGCGCTGGAGAGGCTTTTCGACTTGGACGAGGCGGCGCTCCTGGGCCTTGCCTCTTCCCACCTGGACCCCGCCATCCTCAGCCAGGTACTTAGCCGCTTTCCGGCTCCTACGATGAACCTCCTTTCCAACCTCTCCGACACAGCCATTTTCCGTCTCAGCGAAATTGCCATTGGTGCTGAGGCGCCCGTGTTCTCTGCCCTTCTCGCGGCGCTCGATCCGGCTGCAGTACGGAACCTGGCAGAGGCGCTGGGGTTGGCGGCGTCACCAGCTGCGGCGATGGCTGCAGAAGTGAGGACGCCGAGGCAGCCCAGCACGCCAGAGGTTACTGCGGGCTATGGCAGGCGTGGGCAGGGCGGGGCCGACGGGGACAGGAGCTACAGGTCCGGTGGTGGTGCCGGTGCCGGTGTCGGTGTCGGTGTCAGCCCTGATCTTGCCTCTTATGCTACAGCGTCAGCTGCCGCCACTGCCGATGCCGCTTGTGCGGATAGCGACGCGGATGTGGATGCTGATGCCATCACTCCAGGGAACCCCTGGGCGGGGGCCGCCGACGCCTCCGCCGCCAGCAAGGCCGCGTCTTCCTACGGGAAGGGCGCCGCCAACAGTCCGACCGCATCTGTAAAAGCTATCCTTTCCATTTATGGCAGCCACGGGGCCCCCAGCCGTGCTCCCCCTACTGCCGCTGGCGGCAGCGGCGCCGCCGCCTCGAAGAAGCAAAGTGCCACCACCATTGTGGAACGGCTCGCGGCCGCCGCTGACCGGGCTGCCGCCGAGCGTGGCGGTGCAGCAGATGCCCCCTCTGCGGACGGCAGGACGACGGGATGGCATTCTTCGCACGGTGGCAGCGGTGATGAGTCAAGAACATCAGCACGGCCTCGGAGCCCCAAACTGCAGACTCCATCGAGATTAGCGGGGGCGCTGGGTTACGTGCAGTACCTGAGGATGCTCGAACCGGAGGCGGCGGCGGCAGCTCGCACACTGAGCTCTCTGTCGGGCAATACCCTGGCCGCCCTGCTGTCCACACCGGCGCCGTTGCTGCAGTGGATATCGCGCATGGACGACCAAACCGTAAAACAGTGAGTAGAAGATGAAAATTCAACACGTATTGGTGATGGAGGGTGCAGCGTATCGTGTTTGTTAGTTGGTTGCAAGGTGGCGACAGCCTCCCTGGAGGCCAGCTCTTCCTTGCATTTCTAACACCTAGGACCACACCTGGGAACACATGGCTTGACCCGTCAGGGAACCAGACGGCACCCTTGCCATGCACCCAACAATCAAAGTGCCCACAAGGATTGCGCCTTTTTAGTGTGGTGTATATATCATATACTCGTTTTGATCCCAAGCCCAACCCACCTCGCGCCAGATTATCACGACCATAGCTTTGCTTTGTTGCATACATACATTCGTACGAAGTAGTAGGATCGCTTCCACCCCGGGTCCTTGCTTGCTGCTAATCATTTTCCTCCCCCGTTTCCTTCTGTCTGTTCCTCGCACACTACACTATAAGTAGGCTCGCGGCGTGGCCGGACGACCTGTTGACGGTCCTACTCAGGATCCACCCCGCCGAGCTGTGGAAAGCGGTGGAAGTGATTAAAGAAGCGATGGTGGGTGCATCACAAACTCCTTCTCCACTCCGAACCTCAACCCACGTGCTCCCTTCCTACCTCCTCGCCCTGCAACCGTCAACCGTCAACTGTCGACTGTCATGCTTCTGCCCACCTCCTCTCTGACCCACGCAAACTAGGCGACCCGTGTGTGGGATGCCGTTGGCGTGTCCTATCGTCTGCACAAGCTTAACAGCAACCGTATTCCTCTCAACAAACACGACAGTTGAATGGGCCCACTTTACCTATCGCAACCTCCCTTCTGCTCTTCCGCTGTTCCTAGTCGTTCCAAGCCCATTCCGGCAACAACCTGTCGTATCCTCCTCCAAGCCAAGCCATGACCAACCCATTTTCTAAACTACCATATCTACTCTGTTTCTTGCTGCTCCGCAGGCCCTATCCCCAAGCTGGGCGGACGACTTCCGGTACTTCCTGACTCACCGCACCAGAACATCCAAACTTGTGAACCGTGGGACACAGACACCCGGGCTGCCTCCCACATCGTCAGCCGCGGCCTCCATGGAGTCCCACCTAAAGCAAATACAAGCGAGGTTGCTGCTGCAACAACAACAACAACAGCACCAGCACCAGGTGCGTCATCAGGCGCCGCAACAGCTGCAAATGTATGCGACGTCGCAGCTACAGCCGTCGACTGCAGCAGCGGCGGCGGATGCAGCTTGGGCGGCGGCAGCGGCAGCAGCAGCAGCAGCCGCACAGTCGCCGAGCCGAGCTACATCCCCACATGGACACAAGGGAGCCGCCGCCGACCGGTGGGCCCAGCCCCGGCTTCCCAACTCCCTCGCTCAGGCAGTCTCACTTTTAATGGAGCCCGCTGGAGGGCCTACACAACAGGTAAGCTGTATGTCCTAGGTCACACTACTCAAGGGCTGCACATAAGGCCCGGCAGGCCCCAAACAAGAGAAAATGTCCCAGAAGACGTGTGTGTGTGTGTGTGTGTCTCAGATCCTATTATGTCAGGCCAGGGTTTATAAACTATTAGCCAAGGACATTCATCCTATCCTGACTGAAAGACCGCCAAACACTTCCGCAAAGGGAGGGTTGCGTGCGAGTGGAGCGTAAAAACACGCGACACGCACAAGTGAGTGCGTGTGTGGCTGCAAAGCCAAGCAAAGCCAGGTGAAGATTTTGGACACGGATGGAAAATTCTTAAATGTTTTCGAAAGAATGAATAAATGAGTGAGTGAGTGATCGAGTCTCGTCACACACAGAAATATCCCACGTACAGGAACACATTGGGTAAGGCGGCAGTGGATGGGTGGTAGCCAGGATGGAACCCATTATTTCTCGGCCATTTCCTCGATCGGCCACTCGTTTAAATTTCTTCGGTTGCTTCTCCTTTTCCATCCCTTGAAGAGGGATGGACGTGCTCCTAAGCATAAAAAACAATATTCGTTTCGGTAAGCAGTGCGACCCCTTCTCCCGCCGGCACTCTCGGGCACTTGGTACATCATTACTGTATCGTGCCACACACAGGAAGGCCGCAGACAGCGCGACTTCGATTCCAGACCGGTGAACCCCGAGTTCAAGCGGCGCAACGACATGATGCGAGACAGGTAATGCGGGACAACTCGTACGGCTCTTCCCAACCCTTCTGTTCCCTCTCTCTGTCGGCCTCACTCTGCGCCCTCCCTCCGGCGCGTCCCCATTACTGCACTTTCCTGTAATCATAATATCCTCTCTCCGTTCCCAGATTCTCACGTGACCTTGTTTGTCCCCCCCCGGCGGTGCCTATGTGCCACCTCTGACGCCCCCGACCCTGTCGCCCCGGCCACGGGTCCCCACAGGGATCTCAAGGGCATTCCCCCGACCCCACTCATGGACTTCCCTGACGAGCTGCAGTACAAGTCGTACCGTGAATCTGATATCAAGTTCCTCAAGCAGCGTATTGTGCGAGTGGAGATGCAGCGCAGCCAAATGGGCGCCAAGCTGCTGCACTACTCGCGGATCTACCACTCGCAGCTCAAGAACATGAGCACGCAGCTCATGACAGCGCAGCGCGAGGCACACGAGCTGCGTTTCGCGCTGGAGGTATGCGCGGCTGTGTGATGTTCTGAGTGAATGGTGCATGGGTGGGGAAAGGCAGGAAACTGCCTGATGAAGCGGTTTGACCATGGCGCATCATTCTTTTAGGTCAATCTGCAATCGGCCAAAAAGCGACCCGCACTATAACAATCAAAAAATCGCTCTAGGTGCTGTTTGAGAGGAAGGGAAGGAGGTGTGTGAGATCGTTGTGCTGGATGAGGGTGGAAAAATGGAACGGACTGGGTGTACGATGTATCGGATACGACAATACTTTAGGGATTAGGATAGGTAGGTGGCTTGGCGAGACTGGCCCCAACTGGCTGCTGCGTGGATAGGAGTTATCTTGGATTGGCCGATAGTTTAAATTAGCTCATCTCCAGACCAACTCATTGATGGGGGAGGGAGCCCCTAGCTCAAACACCCGGGAACACCCGGGACCATCAGGCCAATGATAAGCGAGCTCTGCTGCAATCCAACCACTGCACATACATGGCCGTACCTTACCTCGTTAGTGCCAACCCCGTTAGTTCTTATCGCGCAGTCAGCAGGGTGATGAATATCGTGCCTGTGCCGGTGCCCGTACCCGTGTTCCTACCGGTGCCCATGTCGGTGCCCGTACCCGTGTTCCTACCGGTGCCCATGTCGGTGCCCGTGCCCGTGCCCGTGCCCGTGCCGGTGCCCATGTCGGTGCCCGTGCCCGTGCCCGTGCCGGTGGCCATGTCGGTGCCCGTGGCCGTGCCGGTGCCCGTGCCCATCGACAGTGATGATGGACCCGAAATACTAAGAAACTACCCGTGTGATCATCCCTCACCTGGCCACAACTTCCCGCACAGCTGGCGAAGGAGGAGCAAATGGCGATTCTCGCCCGCTTGGAACTGGCGGCCACAGCCCATGCAGAGCTGGCACTCATCGCCGCCATGCCGCAGGTATGGCAGCCCCATGCATCCGCACGCACCTGCCATATACAAGGAAGCAACGTTGGGTGCGATATGCGACCTAAGGGACGCGCCCTTAGCGGCGTGTGTATCTCTCCCGGGCCGGTGGGATGCGGTCCCCTTTTATAATACCATTACATCATTAGAACCCTTACTACACTCCGCATGCATGCGGGCTCCAGCAGGCAACCCTTTGAAACCTATTAAAGTGATGTATTAAAGTAGTAGGAGAAATAATTATTTGTTGGGAAGGATACCCGAAGTAATTAAGGAAGAGAACACCAGAGCTAAAAAACCCGAAGATTCCGACATCCTCCACATTATGGATCCCCTATGTTCCGGCATATGTGGCCCAAAACACACGCGCACATGTACACGTATACACACATACACGTGGCCCACCCAACCCCCTCAGGTACCCCTTGATCTTAAGGAACGCCTGGTCCTGCTGTACAACACCGTCAGCAGCTCAATAACGCCCTTCACGGCGAACATCTCCGCATCCGTCAGCAACCCCAGCCACTCAGCTGCACCCACCTACGACAGCAGCAACACCACTCCGGTGACACCAAGGGCACGCAGCACGACACCGCGTCATACCGGCGCCGCCGGTGGGGCCCCTCTAGGCGGCAACAACGGCTCCCTCGTACTGCCGTATGCACGTGCACTGGTCGGCAACCATGTGTACATTCCAGGCATGTCTGCCAGCGCCGCACGCGCAGGCGGCAGCACGGCTGCTGGAACCTCCGGTGCATCGCACCTTTTAGGTGATTGTGGGGGCGGGAGCGCCGCCAGCGGCAACGGTGGGGCCAGCAGCAGCGCTCGCGGGCCCAGGACGGCCCCGCGGCCCTTCAGCGCCATCCGGGGTGGGGATACGGATGCAGGGCCCCGGGTGAACCAGCCGATGCAGACTCAGCAGCAGGAAACGGGCCTGGGGATAACCGCAGCGGAAATAGCAGGCATGGAGAGTCTAACCGCCGCATTCGCGAGGTATGACTCGTACACAGGGACTGGTGACTCTGCTTGGGCTACATCCCCCCAGATGGCCGACCCCGGGCATCAGTCCTGATGAACCCCTCCTTACGACCTCCGCATCGAACCCTACGTTGTGCAATCTGACCAATTCGTGTCGTGTGAAGCAGGATATTTGAATTGAATTGTTACAGAGTGGGAGGCTTCTGGGCCATTTGAACACATTGTCATTTCTACGATTTATCATACCATACAGCACCATCCACCAGCAGGATATGGACGGAGCAATGTCCGTAATTTGTTTTCGTTTACAATAGATCGTGTCCTAGTATAGTAAATCATGGATAAGGACGGTACAGTCCCTATCTAATACACCAAGGCAAGGTTTTAAAGACGATAACGGTTTTACGGATGAGGGAAGGCCACGAGCGATGGCCCCAACTGTGCCGCAGCTCGGCAGCAGCCAAGCAGGCCGGCGGCCTGGCATGCAGCAGGCCGTAGCTATGTAACAAGCGGAATGAAGATTGGCATCATGCAGCAGCAGCCGTGTCTGGGAGGACACTGGGCATGCGGGTGGTTGCCGCCATACTATAAGTAATTGGCCATGTATCTGATTGGGCAATTACCTTTTGATGGTTGACCAGACCAGGCAGAGCTCGGATGGAGAGATGGCCCGGCCACTTCGTGTATGGCAGAGTGCATGCAACAGGGCACGGGCCTAGGTGCGCTGAAGTGGCAATAAACTTGCGGGTTTAAAGCGACAAGTTGGGTGTCGGCTTCAAGGAAGCCGGAAAAAGGGCGGGGCCCCTCTGCATCCGTACAGGCCGGTAGCAAGGGTGGCAAGGGTGACAATTGATGGGTAGTGTCAACGCGGTGGGAGATATGCTTTGTTGCAGCAGTGCTGATGGTGTGAGAGCTAAGCTTGCACTGGCGGAATCGTCAGCACCGCCTGCGGGCTCCACGCGAATCGCATCCATTCCGGGTGCATGCCGCATGGACAGTGCGGCAGACCGCAAGTCGGAATGCCCGTGCGGGCAAATGGTAACGAAAGCTGGGTGAATTTCGGTGCTGTCTGTGATGTTTATCCCCGAAGCGCCAGCGGCCTCAGCAATCTGCCCCACAGCCGCGGGGTTCATCGGGGCACACCGCAAGTCTCAGGAGGCCCCGTGCATTGGCCAAAGTAAATGTACAAACAAGGAGCTTGTGTATTTCATAGAGAAATGAAAGCAAATTATGTTGGCCTGCTGGTGGCAAGTCGGATTGCCCATGCCGGCAAATGGTAACACAAGCTGGGTGTTCGAGTTATCATACGCCGTCATCTCAGAATTCCATTGTGAGATACGCGGCAGCTTTTGGGATGAAATTTAGCGCGAGAGGCGTTGATGTGGCTTTTGAGGTCGGTGAATGGAGGCAGCTAAACTTGTTTGTGCTCATACGGTCTTTGTTAGCTACATGCGAGATACCTTGCAATAGAGAATGCTGTATAGTACCGATAACGCGTTTCAGCCGGGTGAAATATTCTGTTTGGTCCGTTACACACTCAAGGCCTGGGAGTTCGAGTTATCATACGCCGTCATCTAAGGGTTGTCTGGGGCCGGGAACAGGATCTGGGAAAAACACACAACAGATGGATAGGCAAGAAACGAACGCATTCGGTTCTTGAGGTTGACGTACACACCGAGGCGGAGTAACTGGCCCCCCTTCCGTGCAGCTTGAACGGATGCACATAGCAAGTTGTACCTGCTGGCACCTTCTCCTGCCTGGTGCAGTTGTGCCCGGGTTGCACGGATATGTCTAGTGGATTAATGCGGTTCAATCATGCATGTACGTTCTAGTACGTTCTTGCTTTATTTTATCCATTAGCTGCCCCGATCAGCTTGCCTGCCAGCAACAGCATTTGTATGCGTGCTACATGCATGGTTCTTTGTTCGTTGTGTCCCCCGATCAACAATTATCAGGGCGCATGAGGTTAACCTCACGTGCAACAGCAACGTTGCTATTCAATTAACACTTTTGTGCGCGGGGTGGAAGTTCTAGATTGCACCGGTTGGGTGGTGTCCACTTTGCGGGCAATAATAGCACGGAAAATTTATGCACGTGGGTGAGTAGGAGATAGAAGGAAGCCCTGGGAGTGTAGGTACGTGGGCATGCAGGGTGTGGTTAATGCCCCTCCCCCGGAGCGATGGTTTTGGTGGTGCCCCTCAAGTGTCCTTTGCAGGTTCCCCTCGATGACATGAATGCAGGCGGACACTAAGTATGGTTACGCTTGTAGCATCTGGTGGCATTCAAAGAAGCGTTAACGGCATTCAAACAGGGAGGGTTTGCCGCGCATAGTAAATATGAGCTTGGCACATAGGGCACCTTTGCCGATGTATGTGGATTTATTATTACCGTTTGGAAAGTTACCGTTTGGAAAGAGTTTGCGTGTGCATGCATATGTGTAGGACAAAGAGTGCAAACTTGACGCATGCCTCCTTCCTCGGGATGCACGGCTTACAATGTGGGCTTCCTATCAACGTTACTACAGAAGAATGCTTGTGTGTTTGGCCGTGGCACAAGCAGCGAAGTACAAATGTAGTTGAAACGATATGGTGTTGTTGCTTTATCGGGGGCCATGTTGGGATGTGCTGCCGGCACTTAAGTAAAGAATGCTTACCTGCAGACTCAAGTAGTTCAACAGTCCCGTCCCTTAGCGCAATTACTGGTCACATGGCAACTGGGAAAACCCACATATGGCAGGCTTCCCCACCACATCATCCATGCCGGTCGTAGTGGACTCTCACACCACTCTCGCCGCTGCACATCCTCATTGCCCCCTCCAGACTCTCCTTTAAAGGAGAGTCGAGTCGAGTTGGAGGAAATTTCCCACAGCCGCCTTGGTCCCTTTCCGATCACACATCCCGGCACCACGTGACTTTAGGAGTAGGGTGACGAGCAGTGACCTTGCAGCTGCACATCCATGGAAAGTTAGCTTGAACATTATTTACAAAACCCAGCCGGCCACCATCATAACGACAACCGCACATCGACATATACATGGTAAACCTGTCAATGTGTCTGTTGGATCTAACGGGACCCGTTACACATGCAAAAGACTGGTGGGGCTGCTGAAGTAGCACGCTGCTGCTTGCCATCGAGGACTGCCGTAGGTACTGCAACCGTACATACGCAGGCCATTGGTTGTGCACTTCCCTACCCCTTTCAACGGTTCATATATCCTTCGTCTCGCAATAAAGTCCGCAAGCACATCGCTTATGCCGCGTAACAATTCAAGTGATTGAGCATTGAGCACAATCCCTACCGATCGAGTCCTGCTTGCAGCAACATGACTTACGGGGATGCATTTCTTGACATGTCCCCATGCTTGCGATGCATGCAGAGTACATGCGTAGATGGGGAGTACATGTAGTGTCGGAGGCCCCAGTTCACACACGCACATGAACAAGTTATGACCGAACAACTTATCATCAGTTCACTCTCTTATCCGGCCGCCAACGAACCACCACACACACACACGCGTAGCTGAGCCCGCGGCCCGCATCGGCTTTAGCCACCCATATGTATCCGCATGCTGCAGTGCATGTATGATCCTGCTTTGAATGTGTATATGGACGCTCCAGAAACCATGCACTTGCCGGTGTGTTGTCCTAATGGCAGGTATTTAAAAGCCCTCGCTAAATTTTCCTTACCTCATAACTGCAATTTAAGCATTTTCCAGCCAATCTGTCCGTGGTGGCGGCGCTATCGGCGTGCCCCATGAGCATGATCGTCTGTAAAATTTTTACCGGCTATAGATCGTGCCCTGGTATACTAGATAGGGTCAGTCCCTATCTATTATTATACTAGGACACTATCTATGGGCAATAAAAAAAATTTACAGACGATGCCATCCTTCCGTCGCCTGCTGGAAGATTGCAGATTTGTGGGTGGCGCTCGTAAAGGCGATCACTGCTATAAACCCCAGTACAGACCACCTAACCATGTTTCCCCGTAACCATATACATGGACAGTACAGTACAACTGATGGTGCCTAAATACATGACACGTGACATTTCCCAATCTTTGGAGATGTACGCTCGAACGATTACTTGAACAGTCCCATATATAAGTGCTGCATCGAAGTGCTGCTCTTCGCAGTCTGCTAATGTCACTGTTGGGGTTGCAGCTAGCATTGCACCATCCACCCACCATTGATGCAGGGACAACAGCGCGACCATCTACCCTAAGCCCCCAAGCAACCCCCCATATACTAACGATTGGCGCACGACAGCCTCAGCTGTGGCTATCGTCGGTGTCGCCGCGGCACAATGGTGCCGGCTGAATGCATGAGTGATACTCATCAGCGTATGCCAATATCTCAACAGCCCGCGTCAGCTGGATCCGGGTGGGGGCCGCTCAGGCGAGCTTGCAAGCTTGGACGACGCCTTTAAATCTCTTCCCGGTAAACGAATACACCTGGGAGAACTGATGGCAGTTGTTGTCCGTCTGAGGTAACGGTGGGGGTTTGGCGAGGTCGGATTCATGGAACCGTGGAGATTGCAGGAGTCGGTGTGGGGTTTAGGAAACACAAAGGCCGGTGTGTCATTTTACGCGAAGCTGGAAAAGGCAGAATCCAGTTGTCAGTACGGTGTATGCTGCAAACGAGGCAGGTCGGCTCCACGTTTGGGAGTGTGGTGCTAGCATGCCGACATCCGAGCCCCCCTTGTGACCACGACGGCTGAAGAGAGTGAGGCTTCCGAGCTCGAAATCGAAAACATGTTGTGCGTCATATCATATCGAACACATATGTGTGTCAACTAACCAAATGCGGTATAGAATGGAATGGCTGTTTACCGCAGTCCTTGCAGCCACACCAGCCACACGACTTTCCTGTCGACACCACTGCTTTCCACACGGACCTTTTGACGCCAAGGCGTATTATTTACAGGCAACATGCCGTGCTCTGCCATGCTGCTGCTGCACCACACAGCATTGTCTTGCCGCACAGGCGCTGGCGAGGCTGTCAGTGCTGCGCACCACTGTCCCACAGGACCCGCGCACCTTGTAGTAGCAGCCGCTGCAGGCCGGATCGCTGAAGCAACGGCGCAGACACCCTTCCGCGTTGACGGTCCGATTGTTCTTGAGGCTTAGCTTCACAGGGGGGCCCTCTACACCCCAAAGCGCCACACCATCATTACGGCAGCGGAAATTCCGCGGTGCTACGAAGGGCGGAATAATACGGAGGGATGTAATTTGGTGGAGGGGGGTAAATGGTGTTGGAGGCAGGACTTGAGCTACCGGAGTTTGTGGGAGGTAATAAACGTGTCTGTGTCTTCTGTGTCTGTGTGCGATGAGCCAACGACAAGGCAGCTTGGGCTCCCGGCCTGCAGTATTCTGTAGTGCATATTTTACGAAATCTGCATCCGCCGATCGGTAATTTTCTGAACGTCGTGATATTGCATGGCCTGTGAGCGAAAGGAAGTAGTACAACTGAGGGCATCTGCTGGCAGCCAGCATCATCTGATCGATGAAGGTATTTCGGACCAAAGAGAAGTCACACATGTGCGGTATATGTGCAGATCAAAATGCAATTTCCGTCACCAATCCGACTATTGTTCAGCCACTTGCGTGCCACTAAGCTTGTTATTACATTCTGCCTACGCCATGCAGCCTTATACCCATGCACACTTGCAACTCCATACCCGACACCCCCCATCCGTCACATCACATGTTAGTTAACCACTTAAACTCCGGGTCACTCCACCATGTGCTCACCTGGTGATGGTGGTAGTTGTGGTACTTGTGGCAGTTGTGGTAAAGAAAACATGACCGGTCGTCGTGGTGGAGAAGACTGCCTGGGTGGCAACTGAGGACCTGATAAGGAGGTCAAATGGAAGTGTATGTCGGCGGATGCAGTAGCCGTCCATAGTACGGCACACATACGACTACAAGTGCACGTTAAGGCGCTCCGCCAGCATCTATATAGGCTTTTTCAGCGGCCAGCTACTACAGCGGGTTACCTCTGCCTGCCGCAGTTTGAAGTTCCGGCGTGCTATCTACAAGCATTTGTAGGGTTAGTTATCACGGTGATAGGTTGTCCCGTGCTGGAATTGGTGGTGGTATTGTCATTTCGTCACGTGGGAGACCCAGCGTTCCCTTCAGGTACTTTTACTTGGACCAGATTTAAGTAACCAGCAGCATAGGCATCAGTCATGAACACACATACGTGAAAATAGAAAACGCACATGTAGGTCATGCACAGCACACAGACAAACTGGTGGCTAGTGTAGTACCTGTGCATAGTACGGCACACATACTGTCTAAATTACGTGTTAGGGCGCTCCATCAGCATCTATAGAGAGAAGCCTTTTGTAGTAGTCTACCAGCTAGACGGTAAACGGCACATAGAACAACTATAAATGTGCGCGAAGCGCTTGATTCCAGCTGCAGCATCTCGGGAGGCCTTTTCAGCGGTCAGCTACTACAGGTAGACCTGAAAGTCCTTACATATCACAGGTGGCTACTTACTTGGCACACATGGAGATGTATCAGTTTCTGCAGCGAGGGGAAAAGTAGTGAAAGGGGTGATGGAGTGAGTGCATGGTCGGCCAATTGGCGGAAGGGCAGCAGTGGCCAATAGGGCGCTTGCAGAAGAGAAGGCATTCCACAGTCAAACTGCAGATTGCAAACTACAGTTATGAATTCTGTAACAGCCAGGATGTGTGGTAGGTGCATGGATGCCTCGTGAATGGTGGGGCAAGGGCACATGGTGGTGTAACAAGTCACTACTACACAATATGGTCACAAAGTACGGACAAAGCTTAGCTCCTCAAGGCATGTGTGGACGCAGGCTTTCCAGTTCTTCTGCTAGCTCCTAGCCTACGCCTACGTAAGCCAATTGAATCCACTTTAGGCCCCCTGTTAAGCCCACCACGCTTACCGCATTTACCAAAGCTAAACACAGATGCGCGCCTGTTGCCTCCACATGTGTACGGCATGTTGCCACCTGGCATACACTGCAACTCACAATCAACGTCCTGCCGCCATCCCTGAACCGTCGTGTTTCCTCCGTAGCAGTCGAACTCGTCCACTATTGCAAAGTATTTCAAGCCGGCGGTCAGCGCCAAGCTGGAGCAGTTTAAAAGGGGCATGGGTGTCTCAAATGTCCCACGGGCAAGCTCCTCGGGCAAAGGAGCTGCCCAAGGGTCCGAAACCGGTGCATGAAAGCAGCCCTCATAGCACAGGCCAGATTCGGGAAACGCGAGGGCGATATCGGAGACGTCTGCGGCGGGGAGGCACGTGACGGAGATTACGCAGGATGGGGAAAATTGCGGGAGGTGCAACTCCGCCCAACGTAGCCCAGTGATCCCGTGGCGGAAGAGAAAGCGTGGAGCTATGGCGTCGCCAGAAATTATCTCAGTGGCAACATGGTATGAAGTATGATTCATCGGATGCGATGCTACGCACACCTTGCAGCCTCCGGACTTGCATCCAAGAAGTATTGGCCCAGCCCTGTAGGACCTGAGGCGAGCCACACATTGTTTTAGCTCCTCGGTGCTTTGTCATTCATATAAACAGATTTGTTGAGGGCAGGTGCAAAAGTCACTTGAGCGGAACTTCAAGGAATGGCTTACCTTGCGCAAATTCAAAGGCTCAGAGTAAGCATGTTGAGCCAATGCCAGTATATGAATGTACAGAAGTGATAGCTTAAGGCGAGCCATCATGAACGCTGCATAGAATTGCGCGGCTGCCAATCATTGGCCAATGAAAAAGGAACCAGACTTTACGGGCTTTAGTGTTTTTATGATCATTTTCATCTAATAACATACTCGGGTTCAAGGGATGGTCATTGTTGAGAACTTGTTGAGACAGATACTGGATCCTTCCCTTGTAAGCTGGACGAGCATCCGCACAAGTTTCTTTGAAACTTGACGACTAATCCCTAAAACTGACTCACGTGTTAAGGCTAAATAAGTTGATAGAAATAGCTATCAAGTGCGATTCATTGCTGATCGCACTATTACTGCTGCTCTGTGCATGCCCAGGGGCAGCTCTGTGCATGCCCAAGCAATGGTACTGGCGCTTTGTAACGAAATCACACGCGCTTGCCTTGTAAAAGCTGTTAAGGATATGGCATCGATAGGATGCGACCGAGCTGCACACAGAGTTGGCGCATCATCATAGCATATACCTTACTATGGCCATCGTGCGTGACCGTGAATCCTATGCTCAGAATTCAGCAGGTCTGAGGAGTTGATCAACAAATGGGTTGCGCAAGCGGACGGCGCTGCTGTGTGCTACGATTAATACATTGTAATACATAATTTATATTGAAAGCTGTCAGGCCAGGCAAGTCGCAGGGCATGGATGGTATTCCTACGGTTTTACAAAATGGTGTCTGCACCCATGATGGCAGCTGTGTTTACCAGAGGTTGGCAAGTAAGCGGGTACTGCGGGTCCGTACCACAGTACTTGCAGCCGGAATTCGGCTGAAGGCCCCGGCTGCGGGTCCCTAATGACCAAGATTCGACCAAAAGACGTGAATTGCAGCCTCTATTGCAGCCTCTATTGCGCTGGACTTGAACTATGTGTTTGACTTTTGAGTGTTTTTAGGTTTACTAACTGAAATTATGCCCTCCCGCAGCCGTAGAACCGATTTGCCAACCTCTGATGTTTACTGCTATAGGCTTCCGCGCGGTTTCCTGGATGGGGTTACTACTGTATTCATGTATCATACGCATATGGACCTCGCCAGCGACATAGCGAGGTAGACAGGTGAAGAAGCTATTAAAATACGACACGGGAAGCTGAATTCATGTTTCAGCGTGACACCGTGTGATCGCCGCATAAGTTACATAGATGATTTAAAACTCACAGCAATAAGAGACAATCACGGTTAGCATGCAGAGAGCAACAAGACCCTGAACCAAAGAGCTTTCACGAGAACTGCGGCTCGGCACGGAATTGTTGCTACTCCGCTCACCACAGTGCCGTCCCGCCTCACCGACGCACAATCCATGACAAGCGATATTTATGGGTGTGCCGCAGTTAATGTGTAGCAATCAGATTTCCCCTTGCCTTTGCACCGCCCGCCACCATTTTGGTCTTTAACTCGGTCTTTAACTCCAACGGGTTAAACGGTGGCGGGGGTGCAAAAGCAAGGGGAAACCTGATCGCTGAGAGACGGCGGTGCCTGTCGGGGACGGCCCTCCCTGTCGGGGAAGATGGAAGTGTTATAATAACCTTTCAATACACCTGGGTGCATGTGTGTATGCGCACTGCTGCCTGCCATAGCAGGCACCCGCCACCGCTGTCCACACCATGAATAAGCCGGAGTTGGCCGCACCGTCAGGGAACGGGTATCTGATAGCCGCTGACAGCAAGAAATACGGAGCTATAATCAGTGCGCTGCAGGAATGGGTTCTGCAACGTTCAATCTCCATACCTGAATAGTATTACGACCGTACAAGGGGTCGAACCTTGGACCTTGCCCTTAGGAAGGGCACGCTATATCCACTTAGCTATACGGCCATGTAACATAACGAATAATACTCCTATAGGTTATAGAAATGTAACTAAGGTGCAACAATATAACTTCCTCTTCCCACCGGCCCTTCCCACCCGCCCTTCCCACCGGCCCTTCCCACCCGCCCTTCCCACCGGCCCTTCCCACCCGCCCTTCCCACCCGCCCTTTTCCACCAATCATTACTACCTGCCGCTGTATCCTCCTATACCCGCAACCACACTTGGGCCGCAATGCTGTGAGGAGATCGTCACGATGTCGCATACATGCACCCCTTCGTCTTGTTGCCTGCCCCAGCACACACAAACACCACTTCACAGCATCACCACCTTTGGAATTTCCATCATCGCGGCTGAGATGATTAAAGCCAACTCACAGCATCAAGGCTCTCCCTTTCGTTATGCCCCTTTGGTTAGCTGCAGATCTTTTCCGTTAGCTTTATCGGACTTCATCGCCGCCCATGAGCATATACTTCCTACTCCGGCACCTTCTTTCTCCCTCTGGTACTTTCTTTTTCTTTTTAAGTTAGGACCGGCATGCCGCACGCGTGTCCCTGTGGCCGTTGCATTTGCTCTCGCATATCTTCCGAACAACACCCCTACTAACTCCTGCTGCTGCTGCTGCTGCTGCTGCTGCTGCTGCTCCGCCAACATCGGTTTTCCCTTTGTCCATAGGTTACCCAACCTTCTGCTTTCACGGGAAGGGTTCATTGCGCCGGCCGCCTTGCTTGTCGTCGCATCGCACGAGTTATGGTAGCATAACCCTTTAATCTGTCCGCTAGCTTAGGATACGGAAATAGTTTTTTAGGTTTTATCTAGTTGAGACTTTAGGTACCCTTGTTATCTGTCATCGTTTAAACTACCTATCTATGTGCAGCGGTCGCGGCGCGACGCGCACGCTGGTACGGGAGAAAACGGGAGAGTACAGGAATATGCCTAGAATATGAGCTGCTGAGTGTCCAAGCACTGTAATCCACCAAAGATGTACGGATATAATATATAAGGACGACCACTTAAGGCTGATTAAGGCTTGGCGATTACTGTTCGATGTATGTGGTCGCTCGCTAACGGCGAATGGCGACGGAACCAAGATAGGATCAGCACAACATGCGAATACTTTAATTAAATCTTAAGATTAATTGTAGACTTTGTATCAATCGATGTAAACCGAAGAGAGGAGCTCCGCGAAGCCGATTAGAAGTCGTACAGAAGCGAGCTGTTCCGCTGCGAGTAATTCTACTCGCAGTCTCCTGAGTTTGCAAGCTCAGGAGGCCAGGATAGGAGTCTTCCACGGGTTACAGACAATATGCCTTTACTGCGAGTGTGCACTTTTGCACAACAATATGAAGAGGGAAGTCTTGACGCTCGGTCTGCTGCAGAGAATCAGAGTCAGGTCGAAGTTGGGGGTCTCGGCCCCAAAGGGAAAAAACAGGCAAGGCTCTCAGGCCCAATCATAAAGGGAAAGAAAGGACATGTTCTCGTACGTATTGTCAGACGGCTCCTTAGGCGGCCGTTGCTGCTGTGCAAACCTATCAGGTAATGCCCAAAACAATGCAGTTTTTACGGTTTACATATGCAACTCATAAGGCCCAACTTTGTGCGGGTCCAGGAAGGGCATACCGAACTGGCCGAACCGCAGGTAGAGAACTCATTGACGGGGGCCGTAGGCCCGGCCTCGCTGAAACCACCGAGCAAGTTGCCGACGGTTGTCGGTCTGTACATTAAGTTTAACTTCATACTATTAACAACAACGAGAAGAAAGCCGAAGCCCCTGTAATACAATATGAATATACATCGGCGCAGGCCTCTCTCTCTACCTCATAACCAACGTGTTCGTAAACACGGCGATAGGAGGAGGGGGGAAACTTACAATCATAATGAATACAAGTTCAGATAATGGAATGCTATCAAATACCAGTTTTAGCGCGCAACGCCGCCATGAACTTCCGACATCCGCCGATTTGAGCTACACCGTTGAGTTTCGAATTAATATGGGGATGCGAGGATTGTGATGTCGTGAGAGCAGAAGGCAAAGTTAGGTAGCTTCCTGTTTTTTAAACGCAACTACGTACTAGGCCTAACATTGTAAAGGTATGCGAACGTTGACGACGGTGTGAAGGGAGTTTTTTTGCACTAACGTAGTTTTATTTAACTTGATTTCTGGTATATGAGGCCCGTGACGGCCCGTTGCTGGCCAGTACGGCAGGTACATCATGTAACATCTTATCTTGCCTTGTTACACGCATACATGAACAGAGCGAGTGCATGCAGCTAACTCGTAGTCATCCCCTTGAGCTCGTAATAATACGTATAGGGTAACGATTAAATGCATGTAAACAAATTGTTTTTGCTGGCATTGCTGCGGCATTTGTGCCTGAAGTGCAAATGCATATGGCAGCTTAGCTGTCAAGCCGTAATTCCAATGGGCATTGCCTGCTGCGACATAGGCAGCTGACGACGGAGCTGCAGCGATCGAGCGAGCATGCATGCAATCTCTGCAGGTTCACACGACCATGCCATTGAAAGTTCAGGACCATAGCAAACGTTGATGTACTCGCTTGAAATGTCTTCAAAATGAATTATATACCTCCGCAGACTGGTGGCTAGTGTTGGCAATGGAGCTGCTGACTAATTACAGCGAACCGACACATACGACATTTCTCTAGGCACAGCAGGATTTTTTTGTAACTCAGGCATGTGAATCCTTTGTAGACAGCTTTAATGATTAACAAGCCTCAAGCACGCCTGAACATTTTGGAGTACGCCGACCGCGCTTCATCTTCACACGCACCGCAATATTCTGTAACTTTCACACTTTACAATCTGAACCTTGAAATTAAAATTATTTATTCATTGCAAGCAAGACAAGTTGACGATTTAGTGACTTGCTGAATATTTGCTGGACGATACGATCTTTTGCTCAAAATGCGCCGCTGAGGTGCGCGGGTTAATACAAAAAATGTTTTCTAAGTATTTCGGAATTACTGGTGTGTGGACGGCTCGCTTTTGGTCTCCGGGATTTGTTCAAACGATTGAAATGCATAATCGCAGCAAGAAATTCGACTTTGCCTCACTTCATACACGACGAAAGGTTGTCTCATAATCCCCTGAACGGATCGCTGCAATTGGCAAAAATCATCCTACAGGCGCATGATAGCTACTGACGACTACACGACAGCATGCCAAGGCAGCTGTACTGTTATGCCAAGGCTATCGATAAAGTGGGGAAGGCGGAAGCACGTGTACCGCAAGTGTATAACGTGCATGGGCAATCTGGGTCGTGGCTATGGCAAACCGTGCTGGCTGGGTCGCACGCTTATGTTTGTGGCTATCCTGGGCGCAATCTATGACGTCAACGCAAACCAAACCCACTCTGTCCTGGCTGGAGGGTCTGCTGGCATCGCAAGGCAAATGCAAGTGATGAACAGCCCCAGCCCTAGCGTGAAAAGCCCACCGCCACTCCAACCTAGGCGACCACCAACCCCGAGACCTCCAAGTCCACCACCAAAGCCTCCATCGCCATCACCACCACCATCGCCACCAGCACTGCCACTGCCGCCGCCATCACCCTCACCACCACCCGCGCCACCATTTCCCCCACCGGAACCGCCATCACCTCCACCATTCCCGCCATCACCACTACCACCTCCACCACCATCACGACCACCAGCACCACCCGTACCACCTCCACGGCCACCGTCACCACCGTCACCACCTTCTCCACCCCCCGCCCCGCCATCCCCGCCAACTCCACCATCCCCACCCCCACGGCCACCGTCACCACCATTTCCTAGACCTCCACCGCCATCACCTCTACCACCACCACCATT